AAACAAACATAATCCATTACGTAGTAAACACAACCCGTGAAAACAATTTAGTATTATACCAATGTTATGTCAGGTAAATTTGGTTGAAAGACATCAAGGCAATGATGCATACAGTTTGCATTACTGTAATTGCCCAGCTTCATTTTGTGAAATTACTAACTTACGGCTCAACAAGTTTGCATATATGTAGACTTTTCCCTCATCTGAGAATCTGTATTACTCATAGACAACATTGCCAGAAAAATTATTTCATTTGAACATAACCACCTCTGGAGCAGGTTAGGTGAACAGCATCAAGTTATCATATCAATCTAGCCAGTTTAAAAGAAAGCCACTTTGGTAACATTGAAAACTCAACAGGCTAAGTAGGATTTGTCAGTTGTTTTTAAACACACAAAGTTTGAGTTTGAGAGAGAGGGCAGGTAGACAGTTAATTAAGTGAAGGAGCACAGTTAGCACAGTTAACAAAGCAGTGAATCAGAGTGATCTTTTTCACCAGGATATTAAGTGAAATGTATCAATAATTATACATGGTTTAATCCTTAATACAGTAGGATGGAACTATGCTCCCTCCTGTTGGTTTTTCTATCCTCCACATTGTAAATACCTTTCCTGTACAGTTTAGATCTTTCTATCTTTATCTTTATTTATTTATATTTTAAAAAGTACTTCATTTTCGTGTGATTTTTATGCACCAACGCACCAAGGCAAATTCCTTGTACGTGTAAAAACTTACTTTGCAATAAACCCGATTCTGATGCAGAACAACACAACACTTTTTGTACATCTGAATCTGTGTCTACCCTGCAGCTCTGGAGAAAATGTCACTGAGCAATGGACCAGAGAATGGAGGAGATACTGGGATTTCCAGTGAGACACCTTCAAGTGAAACACACTCAAAGCCTACTGAGACTGACTGCTCCTTCTAGAGGCTCAGCTATTTGGAGAAAATAACAAGAGCATTCGTGGGAAAATCTCTCTCAAAGAACTGAATCAAAGAATTCTATGACAAACCTAGGGACAACGGACGGAAAATGAATAGAAAGTATGTTTTCCCTTTTTCCTCTTGGTGTTCTAAGGTGGTGGAAATTGAGGGTTTTTTCTGGGCATGTGGCAATGATTTGGGCTAAAAGTACACGTTTGACAAAGCCAGGTGTAAGATATGTAGAGGAGGGACTGAACAATGTGTGATTTCTCTGGGGATAGTTTATACTAATGGGAATCAACAGGACAGTTGTATGTGAAAATGGCAAAAGGAACCTAGCTGTCATGGAGGGACATTGACATCAGGAAGGAAGAGGTTGCTTATTGTTGAAAATGTCTTTGAGCTGCCGCTTTAGGAGAGACGCTTGTAAAGTGTTATGCTTTTATTTGTATAGTTATCCATCTGGTCTTCACAACAGTATGACAAAACTATGTAGTCCTACAGGGAACTTTGGGAAGACCAGGAAAACTCCTCTTAATATTTTATTAATTGTTTTACAGAAAACAATAACTAACAACTTTCTGTTAAATAGAATATTGCCTGTTGTCAGCAATACACTTTCCAACATTTAAAACCTAAGCAGAGCAGCTATGTATTAGGTTGAAATATGTATCTAAATATTTTACCAGCCACATGAATGAACATACTGAACGCTGAAATGTAAGAGGAACAATAGGCAATAGGCATTTATTTGGTGATGTCAATGCGAACAGTATAAAAGTACTTAAAATGTACAACACTTTATGGATGGATAGAGAAAATATTCAGTATTGTGACACTTAATAAACCAACATTAATCTTATTAGCATTCTTTTTTTCTCTTATCCAGCTTCCATCTTTAACATAAATATGTAAAAGATGGTAGTAAGTTACCCTGTGCGGATGCATTGTTATGGATCCAACTGCTTTTTCTGGCAAAATTCAATTCAAGCACCAGCATGAGTGGAAGTAGTCTTCTGCCAGAAAGCCTCTATTTTATCCTCCGTCTCCCAAGTTCATACCCTTAAATCATTCATCCACTCTTGACAGGAGTGGCTGTGAAACAGATAACTCTGTCTTTCAAGGGAGTATAAAGGAACTTCCAAATCCCATCTGGAACTGCAGCCTACTTTCCTCTAACCTTTTAGGGCAAAACAGGGTGTCCTTGTCAAGTCATAAAGCCCTTCATTTAGCAGAACAAAAACGACCATATCTGGCTGTTTGTTTAATTTTTCCCTCCTCCAGATGTTTTTCAAGTGTAAATACTAAAAAGGCATGTTATAAAGTCTAAGGCTTTGAGGGTTTTGTAATTGTTTCAGCTGTTACTTGTCATACTGATGTGTGACCTGAAAACCCTGTCCCGGTATTGTATCCTATTTATAAGGTGTTGACTGTAGATGTTCCATTGACTCATTATCCTGCCATAGATTTTTAACCTTGTTCCATCATTAACATATTTTGGCATGTCACTGTATGTGGAATATACATGGCTGGGCACAACACAACACTTGTATTATCTAATTGAATACAATCATTCTTAACTGTGTATTGCTGTATACTGTATTTTGTTATTGTTTTTCTTTTATTGTGTCACATAACTTTCTATTGTATCATGTTTTTTTTTGTCAGAATCCCCTTACTGTATAATGCTGTAAAATTTAACAAACTATTCTAAAGTGCGTAGAGGCATCAATTCCTCTCTGCTCAGAGATCACATTGGTGAGGTCTGTGTGAAAGATATTCAGTTGAATGCATTGAGCCCAGCTCTTCTGTCTGTTGTCACCACTGCTACAGTAACTGCCAAAAGAACATGAGTAAGTGAAAAACTATTCACATGTATGATGTGCATCTTTATAGGTAATGAATCCATGTTAAGCAAGCTATTTTAGCCTAAATAAAAGTTTGTTTTTTTTTGAATGTCTTCAGTGCTTTTGAAATTCATCTCTGAGTTTAGGAAATAAATTCTAGCTAGACTTTCAGACAAGTATAGTGTGGTCCAAGCACCGCCATGGATTTGGAGATTTAATCGACCCAAAGTTATCTGAAAAGCATAGCTGAAAAGAGCTTTGACAGACAATGTGACAAACGTAGAAACATAGGCAGAATTGGATGTCCTCAGACAGTGTTCCAGCCAAGTAAAATATGAATTAACAATATCAAATCAGTTCTTTTACTAAATAATTGTTTCAATCTGGAGTTAAATACAAGTCAGCAAAATACCCAAACACATTTGGTAATAATCTTACTAAAATTGGTAAATTGGAGTACAACATTATAAGAGACATTTTCTTGTTCTCTCAAATATCTCAGACACCGTAACAGAAAAAGCCAAAATAGAAACGTTTCATTTTCAAGAGAGCTTAGATAAAATAAGGGTTAAAAATAAAAAGGTATTCTGACACAAGTGAAAAAGAAATCATACAAATTCTTTAGAAAAATAAATTTTTATCAAACATCCATATTATAAAGTCAAACTAAAACGATATCAAACAAAGAATGAGTTTGGTAATGCTTTCATTATAAGCACATTCATAAGACAATGTTATACATTTGTAAGGCTTTATAAACCAATTTATAAATGTTTATAATCATGCATGACAACTTATGAATCTTTTTATTGGACGATTAAGGATGTTACATTTTACAGGAAGTGAAATAGTTCTCCAGTTTTCATGACAACTTATAACAATGCTTATGAAGTATTATATTTATTTTTTTATTTATATTTATTATGTGGACATTCTGTATTAAAAGTTTATAATGTTCATAATGCTTTATACGTCCATGCCAAGCAATTTGCAACCTTTGCTGTTATAGTATCACACAATTGCTAATAAAAGTATAAGGTCCTGTCACTACTTTAAGCTCACAAAGTAATGCTATAAGTTTATATTACATTGGAGATGCCTTTGTACATCCATTTCTAATGGGTGTATCCTTGGCCAGGAAGTCATCAGGTGGTGCCCCCCCACACAACTTGCATAGGGGATCCTCCCTCATTCCCCACCTATCCAAGTTGACTGGGGTCTGGACAGTGCTCTGAGCAGAAAGGAAATGTGAAAAGCTATTTTCATTCAAGCTGCCACAATTCAGTCTACTTGATAGGTCCTCTGCCTTCTTCCTCCTTCAAATTTCATCCTGGATCAAGGTTCTCTTTTTTGCAGGAGCAGACTTTGACCACTGTTGGAAATGGGATGTTCTTAGGCCTCATCTTCCCATGTAGGGGTTACTGATGATATCACTGTTCTTGAGGGAACATGCTGCCTGGTGGATTGCAGTGCTAGTAGCCCACTTCTGGCCTAAATATTCTACCTGCTTCCCTGATGAGATGGTCCTGAGAGTCCTTAAATGTCAAGGAGAGATTGCACTTGGCAACTCTGAACTCCTCCACAACTGATGACATGGGAAACTGGAGTTATCTTGACCTAATGTAGAGCCCAGTTGATGTAAAACTCGTGGGTATTCCCAGCCATCTATAAAGGTGCTTGTTAATCTTCCTCTCCACTCCTTTAACAGATGTTATAGGCACTTCATACATGGTGAGGAGCAACATAAGTCTTGGAACCAGGGCATGTTGGTTATAACACTTATATTTTGCCATAGCACATTTCTGATGTTTCTAATACATTATTGCATTTCAGAAACTACAATCTGTAATGATACACTCAGCAATTCTCTGTGTCTTATAACTAGCCAAAGTTGGTCGTTATATTGTTCTGCCCAGGACTCGGGATTCTTTGGCATGGAGTTATAAAGCTTTATAAATGCTAAACTTTTAATGCAGTATGTCCATCACATATACCTTATAAACCTATTTAAGTTGTCATGCATGATCATAAACATTTATAAACTTTCATAGAAAGAGTTACCATAATTTCTTATACAAAGGACATAGCCATCCAGTTGCTTATAAAATCCTTCACAGGTTAACATAACATGCCAATGACAACCAAAACAGACCCTTGGTTTTGGTTGTCATGGCTGTTTATAGAACTAATATGTTACAAACCTGTTAAATCATGCAGACAAAAGAAAGTTTGATTTTGATTTTGTTTATTTGTTTGATAGATTGTGCTTGATGTAAGCGATAATGCCAGACAAGGTTAATTCCTAAATTATGGACACCTCAAAGGGTATTATTCCGCTTAAACCATGGTCACTTGCATAATAATAATAAAAAAAAAGATTATCAATTTATATTTTCATGCATTTCGCAATAAAAAATTTAAGTTTTCCATTTCCCTGGTAACATCTTATGCAGTAGAACTGAAAGAGTCATTGAATTGAATTACTGTAGAACCTCAAGTTATAGCTCAGGCTTTTATTTGCTTCAATCACTGGATTTAAACTGTCTGTATTTGGGACAAGCATGTATTTGGGACAAGCATCTATAAAGGACAGGTGTTTAATTACTTTTGCACAAAACTGTTGCTCAGTAAAGATGGCAAATAGTATCAAATAACTTAGCTACCAGTGTGCCCCAACATTATTAATTTCTAAAAGTTTAGTGTTGAGTGTAGAAGTCTGATATACACCTTTTAGGTGAGCTCTGGTGCAGTCCAATTGACTCCACAACAAATGTGAAGGCCAATTACGCCTTATGTGGGAAGGCTCAACAACACTAGTTGACATGACGCATTAACATCGTCTGTCATGATGTACAAATCACACCATGAGAGTGACATAAAACACTTCTCTAGAGAAAGCCTGCATTGTTATAGACCATATAATTCTTAAATTTAATATAATTATGTGGACTATGAAGTATTGAGAAGTAAAAGAGTTAAAATACACATTGGGGTTAGTTAAGTGCCGTCACTGGAGGAGACAGATCACCCATATACTGAGCATAGCAGTCTGAGATGGTTTTCCTCAGCCCATCGATGTCTCTCCTCAGCTGGCTGACCTCTAGCAGTTTGAATCTCAATTCATCTTCTACCTTCTCTCTGCAGTCACCCTCCTCCGCTGAAACACTCAATGCTGGACAGAGAAAAGTAGAAAACGTTATCACTGGATAAGGGATACTATATAGTGAACCAGATTATAACTTCATAAATTCAGGAATGGAGAAGCAAGCCCCTTGTGTGAAGATAGGTCAAGAAAAATATTTAGATGGTATACTTGTACTCACCTAACACTGTACTGATCTAAGTGTATGGCAACAACAGTTTGGTTTTGGTTGACATAGCTGTGGTTTGGTCTGACTAGCAGCAGTAAGTCCCCATGGTGAATCTCGCTCATGTGTGCTACACTCGCGATATCACTCTCCATTGCTCATTTTAGAGAGTTGTCTCATTCTTAATCATTGAAATATGTGGCGCTTTGTATGTGTCTTATCTGTTGTCATGTTCTATTTTTGTGGACTCCAGGGAGAGAAACTCCTTTTCATGACCACTGTCTTTAACTGATATTAGTGTAGAAACCAGGGGAGATCAGAATTTTGTGTGACTTGACTATGCAAATACATTTGCAAGAAAAAAGTAAATGAACTCTCTGGGATTACCTGAATTTCTGCATAAATTTGTCAAAATGTGTTCTGATCTTCATCTAAGTCACAACAGACAAACACAATCTGCTTAAACTAATACTACACACTGAACACACCTTGTAAATACTCACAGTTGCAGGGTGGAAAAAGTATGTGAACCCTTGGATTTAATAACTGGTTGACCCTCCTTTGGCAGCAATAACCTCAACCAAATGTTTCGTGAAGTTGCAGATCTGGGGCCTCGTACTAACGTTGCCTACGCACAAAATTCGTGCATATGCCATTTTTCACGTTTGGATGTACTAAAAGTGAAGTGAACGTGAGAATGTGCGGTCCTCCACAGCAGCTTCATTGCTGGCGTACGTACATCTTTTTTGCTTATGTCAGTTGTCAGTTGGCGACACTGACAGGCGATGCATTGAAATTGCATAGCCGAAATTAATAATTGCTCTCAGGACAGTTGCACTGCATGCGAAAGTCATTAGGGACCAAGCCAGCGACCGTCGTGTTTGTAGCGCCCCCTACAGGATAAAAAAACAGCAGCCCCGGCACCACGTTTCACCAATATGTACGAAACTCGGTCGGCACGTGTAAACATGCCGGGACGTACAAAAAAGCCTCTTGGACCCATACCCGAAACCTCACAGGAAGTCGGCCATTTTATTTTTATTTTCACTTTCCGCAAACTTTTCGCGTTGTATTTGAACGAACTCCTCCTAGGGAATTTATCGGATCTGCTTCAAAATTTGTGAATACAGTCAAAAAATGGTTCTGATTAAAAGTTGTGCTATTTGTGCATGTACATTGAAGGGCGTGTCCGTGGCGTGCCCTCAAAGTTGGCCATAGTGAATTCCGTGCGCATTTTCGGTGAATTTTTCGCCTTGTATTTGAACAAACTCCTCCTAGGGAATTTATCGGATATGCTTCAAAATTTGTGAGTACAGTCAAAAAATGGTGCTAATAAAAAGTTGTGCTATTTGTGCATGTACATTGAAGGGCGTGTCCGTGGCGTGCCCTCAAAGTTGGCCATAGTGAATTCCGTGCGCATTTTCGGTGAGTCTTTCGCCTTGTATTTGAACGAACTCCTCCTAGGGAATTTATCGGATATGCTTCAAAATTTGTGAGTAAAGTCAAAAAATGATGCTGATAAAAAGTTGTGCTATTTGTGCATGTACGTTGAAGGGCATGTCTGTGGCGTGCCCTCAAAGTTGGCCAGGTTGAATCGAATGTCAAACTGTGATGCTATTTCCGGCATTTAAGGGCTTCTGTTTTAACTAACTCCTCCTACAGATTTTATCAGATTGACTTCAAATTCGATCACTTCAATCTACACACATTGGTTATCAAAAGTTGTGCTATTTGTGACTGTATGTTTAACCGTGTGCCCGTGATGACGTGTCGAATTCCACCGATTGGCCATCAAACAGATAGTACTCATCTTCAGTGCACAGTCCCACCCTGAACACGTCCTCATAACTTCAGCGTACATGGTCCAATCTGGTCCAATGAAACTTCACGTGTTTGATAACAGTCCCACCCTGAACACGTCTACATGACAATATTCAGACATAGTGATAGCGCCACATACTGGTAACAGGAAGTAAGCGCTGCGTGGCGATTTTGAGCTGATTAACGGCAGATTTTCATGTTGTGGTCCGCACGTGTTACGATGGCACGCGACACGGCCGCAGCACGCCCCGAGTTGCGTGGAGTGCGAGGTCCCGCCCAACGCTGCTTGCAGCTTTAATTATTATTTACAATCAGTCAAGCAATTAGGCTACACAATTTTAAATCATTTGCAGATTATTTGTGTTAAGGGGTAACTTGCAGCGCGCAGTCCTCTACTGCGTTAGAGGAAGTAGAACACACTCAAATTATCTTTAGCCTCTTGGCATATTTATTTGACAGTTAACAATAAAGTGCGGACCGATGTGCCGCCGTCTCATCAGCATGGCTCACACACAACAACAACTAGCGCTCACTGGGAGCGTGGTGACATCACGTCTTGTACGTACCGTAACCCTTTCACAATACAGCAGTACAGTATGTCAGTCTACCATAATACAGGGCCTCCAACGCCTGTGGCCTGAAGGGTCTGTCAATGGGCAGATATGTCTTCATATCTGACCACTTCTTTTTCAACTCCGCTGCGGTGGGGTTCTCCGACGCTACCGAGTTTACTGCCTGTGCCACGCAAAATAATTTTTTTCTTTGGTCTCCATCAGCAGCACCTCTAATTCGCACTCCATAAAATTTCTTTTTTTCCTGGCTTTTGCCATTTTCCTAAAGACAGCACTATCGAGGCCTATTTATACTTATGAGCATATTCAAATATGTGTATTTGAGGGAGGGGACAGGGTGGAGCGTTGTGCTCGTGCATGTGCGCTCAATTTCACGTTGATTGCGATGTACAAAGACAATGTGCGTGGGATTCTGCGTACGCAGTACAGTTCAGTACATCTGAATTTTTTTGTGCGTACGGAACTTTCACTCTTTCAGTGTACGCCACATTCTAGTAGGAAATCCACGCAAGTCTTAGTACATGAGGCCCCAGATCTGCACAATGGTCAGGAGGAATTTTGGACCATTACCCTTTACAAAACTGTTTCAATTCAGCAATATTCTTGGGATGTCTGGTGTGTTCACTCTCATGAGGTCATGCCACAGAATCTCAATCAGGTTGAGGTCAGGACTCAGACACTGTTGATTTACTTATGTGCTTTGGGTCTTTATCCTGTTGAGCTTCAATTAGTAGATAGATGGCCTTAAGTTCTCCTGCAAAATGTCTTGATAAACTTGGAAATTAATTCCACAATTTGTCTTACCGTGGACAGCTTTATGCAAATCAACAATTCTTAATCGTAGGTCTTCTGAGAGCTCTTTTGTGCGAGGCATGGTTCACATCAGTCAATGCTTCTTGAGAATAGCAAACTCAAAACTGGTGTGTTTTTTATAAAGCAGGGCAGCTTTAACCAACACCTCCAATCTCATCTTATTGATTGGTCTCCAGGTTGGCTGACTCCTGACTCCAATTAGCTCTTGGAGAAGTCATTAGCTTAGGCGTTCACATACTTTTTCCACCCTGCACTGTGAATGCTTGGATAGTACCATATTTTTTGTGCATTTATTCCAGTGTTGAAAACTGCATTTCTTCGCCTGTATGTGTAATTGCTTGAGTTTCTGACACAGGCAAAGGACTTTTTGCGTTTGTGGCAACTATTGTCTGCAGTCTGCATTAACTCAAGGGAAATAAGACTTTTGAGCATCTATTGTTTTACAGGCAGGGTCTCTGTGTGTGTATCTACAAGTGTTAAAAACAGGCTGAGAGAGCTTGTCTTTCTCGCACTCGCAGATATACACACAGAGAGACCTTTTACTATTATTATTATCATACGTATAAAAACAAAGGTAATCCAAATATTATGGTTGAGTTGAGAGCCAAAAGAAAAACAGGAGCTCAGCAAAAGGCATCCATTTACAGCAGGTGTACCACTCAGCTAACTCAAGACAGATGAGGCACTGTCTGATGACGTTTCTCTTGTATCTAAGCAAAGGCATATTTCCCAAGTTTGACAGTTCTGCAGTCAGTACTGGAAAAATAGGACATTCTATGATGCATTTTTGTTATCCCCAAATCAGGAGAGAGTTCTCCCTCTGTGTGTGTGCTACGGCAACTTACCAATGGGTAACAGCTGAAATTGTGGGGTTTTTTGGCATAAATTGTTAAATAGATGGACAATATGACTGGAAATGTAATCTTTAAGGGTTGAGAAGGTGTTTTTAATTTCATCTCGACTTTAATACTGGATTTTGGTACCCAACCCTACATATAATATTAGATAAGCCTAAAACTATAGTTGGGGCCCTAGTTTTCAATTTTACATCTGTATTCAACACAATTCAGCAACAGCACTTACTGGTAATTCAACTAGAGGTTATATCTCCAATATTAGACACTGTGTGCTGATCTGATGTTTGTGCGAGTTTTCACATTCTATTATGGTCAGTAGTTTCTATGGAATTAGATTTGTGCCAAAAGAAAAACAAAAACAGGAATTTGAGAGAACATAAAACTAATTTCAAAAATAAAACTTATAACTTGCAATCAAATAATTTGTCAAATAGTGTAAAATATTGACATTATTTTGATAACTTATTTTGGTTCCCTCTGCTTCTCTCTCTAAGCTCAGACTTTTGCGCTCACTCTCGGCTTTGCGGTCTCTCTGATGCTCTCTCTAGTTTGCGCTCCCTGATTTTTTGTTTGCAGTTTTGGGACAAACCTCTCGGGTGGGCGGGCTTTATCAGCAGAGCGTCCCCATTGGGTAATCAGTTTTTGACTGACACAGCACAGTAGGCTCAGTGCCCCGGAAGTTACGTGTAGGTAGCTGGCACGCTAACGAGAGAGAGCAGCAGAGAGACCGCAAAGCCGAGAGTCAGCGCAAAAGTCTGAGTTTAGAGAGAGAAGCAGAGGGAACCGTAAACAAAATAATGTCAATATTTTACACTATTTGACAAATTATTTGATTGCAAGTTATAAGTTTTATTTTTGAAATTAGTTTTATGTTCTCTCAAATTCCTATTTTTGTTTGTTTCTTTTGGCACAAATCTAATTCCATAAGTTTCTAGTTTTCCCCTCCCTGGTGTCCCTGTCTCTCTCTGTGTGTGTGTGGACTCCTCCCACTCTACCTGATTACCTGCTCACCTGTCTGACTGCTCAAACCTGCCAGCCATCAACTCATCAGTCCTGCTGTATATAAACCCTAGCTCTCCATCCACTCTCTGCCAGATCGTTGTCTCTACATGCCTGGTAGTAACGTTCTTGGCCAGTTAGAGAAATTATTAAAATTAAGATATGTTTTTTTCCCCCCTTTGTGCTAACAAACTAAACTTTGTTTTTTCCCTCGGGATCTTCACCTTCACTTCAGCTACCTGCCCGCTCCTTCCTATCAGCCACACTGCCTCCACCTTCAGTTCCACTCTGCCTGGGTCTCTGCAATTGTACTCTCACCACTGCCAGCAGGAGCTTCACATCACCATTTCATCAGCAATAATGGTAATAATAACCAACAGAGTTTGTGTTCTGCTTGTGGGTTCCTCTGTTTAACATGACACAATACAGTTGAGACTTATATTCAGGTCTTGGCCTGATAGTAATAGTGGAATAATATGGGTGTTAGAATAGCACAAGTAGAGGACTATCACACATTGACTCATAAGATGGTTGTCATCGTCATAATCATCATGCTGTTGCTGTGCACCTTTGTCTCTGTCTGTCCTTCTATCTTTACTCCCTCTTTGAATTGAATTGATTCAGTTATACCATTAATTTCTTACAAAAAGAGTACAAGTAGGTAAGGTTAATCAGACATATTCAAATCCTATTACAAACTCAGAAGAACCCCAGGGTTGTGTGAGCTCACTTCTACTCTTCACACTTTATATAGACAATTCTAAAACAACTGTACGTCTTGGGATGCAAGACGCATTTTGGAAAAATATAATGTAATAAAAATAATCTGTAATTCTATACAAAAGTGATATCAAATACATAAATATCTCACTCTTTTTGTTAAGATGTAACTTAAACAATAACAAACACAGTGTGTGTGTGTGTGTGTGTGTGTTATTCACATTTCATGCCCAGAAGCACTGACAGGTTGGGCTCTTTCCCCTGCGCTCTCTGAGCCAGGATGCTGCAGAGAGCCTGGAGGTCCAGTAGACACAGGGACATCTCTTTCAGCAGCCGACCCATTTCTGGTATCTCCACATGGGATAGAGGATGCACCAACAGCCCGTCATCCACTTGCTCTCATTGGGAAACAAAGGGACAAAATTTAGTTTCTAGTGACTATGTACAGCACACCATTGCTCTCATGCAGCAGGGAAATCTTAGGGATACACCAATCCAACTCACTTTCACTAGACAAGAATTCTGTGTTGCTAATACCAGTGCTAATTTTCTTTTTCAGTTCAAAATATCTCCAAATCATAGCAGGTGTTGAAGGTCCAGTGTTTAGGATTTAGTTCCATATAATGGTGAAGTTGCTGATTGCGATGTCCTTGCTTTTACCTCCTGTTCCAAAAAAGCTGTACCATGGTAAAGACATGGGGGACACTGGACATTTTGGTCCAAATGAGAGGCCTCTACCATAAATTTTCTAATTCGATGACATTTATGAAAATATCATTTGCCGAGGTTTATGGTGCATGCAGGGCCTTACACCACTCAAGGTCTTATTTGACAAAGTATGCAAACCATTATTATGTGTTAAGTGTTCAAAGACATGATTCGATAGCTCCCTGGTGCCTCACAGACACCCTAAACATATTATAAGATGAGATTTTCTTTTTTTTATGTGTATTGAATTTGCACAAGTTATTAATGGTAGCGCGCTATATATATATATATATATATATATATATATATTATTTTTTTTTTTTTTTTTTGTACTCTGCTGCGTTTGTAGGTAAGGTGTAAGTTACCTCTGTTACTGATGGTTAGATTGGCAGAGTTATATTTTGTAAAGTAGTGATCAGTTGTCATACTGTTGAAGTGGTCATTAAAGTGGATCGAGTAACCCAGACAACGACGTCCCCATACTCTTGCTTTACCCACGACCAAAAGGCAGTTTTAATACAGTAACTACCAAGTGTATAGTTAACGCTAAGAGTAACCAGCATTACATTTTTGTTGACAAAATGTAGTCGGGACTTCAAGATTCGATAACAAGACAGAAAGTTGTGTAGTGTGAACAGTCCAGAAATCTAACAACTACAAAGTTATGTAGTGTGTCCAAGGCATAAGTTAACACTTCCAACACCGATACCTGTGGGAGGGCTGTGGGTGGGGTGGCCAGGCTTTCCTCCTTTTCTAGCAGACAAGACTGCCGTCGATGAGGAAGTCCCCTTTTCTTTTGCAGTCTTGTACTGGTGGCCTAACAAAGATAAGCACAGGATGTGACACATAAGCCTGATTTATTCTTTAGAGAAAGAATATACAGGTCAGACATTATTTTCTCCATCGACCAGGAAATTTCCGGTTTAGAGGCGCTACTGAGTAATATATATTATATTGTTAAATGGAGCAAAGCATCAGCAAGGTGACCAGATGAAGTATGATGAAGTGCTTCCAGTTTGGACAAATTATAAATTAAAAGAATTTAAATTATTATTTTTTTTAATATATATTTTTTGGGGCTTTTTATTGCCTTTATTATAGTGACAGCTGAAGATAGACAGGAAAGAGGTGCAGAGAGAGGGGATGACACGCAGCAAGGGCCACAGGTCGGATTTGAACCCTGGGCCGCTGCAGCAAGGACTCAGCCTCGGTACATGGGTCGCCAGCTCTACCCACTGAGCTAACTGGGCACCCAGAATGTGGCACTTTTTTGACACACATTGTTCCAAGCAGACTATTTTTTCATGTCTTAATACATGTCAGGAGGGGATCTTTGACTATCATCAGATTAATTCACTGGGTTCTGTGCACAGGCTATCCTATCATCCATAGCCAAAGAAAATTTAACCACCTAACCTTATTAGTCTTTCGGCTGTCATAGCACTCATTGCTACTTCGCAGCTTTACATCACCAGACCAATATTCACAGTTGTGCTCATAAATTGACATACCCCTGTCAGAATTTGTAAAATGTGTACTATTCTATTAAGAAAACATGAGCCAAAAACTTTTTTTTTGTGGGTTTAAAATTAAACTATAAGGCATCACAGAATAGCACAATCATTAAACAAAAGATAGCTTGAAGTCTTTTGTGATAGTTGTAGATGAGGTCCTTTATTTTCTCAGGTGGCAAAGATGCCCATTCTTCTTGGCAAAAGCTTTCAGGTCCTGTAAATTCTTGGGTTGTCTTGCATGAACTGCACGTTTGAGATCTCCCCAAAGTGGCTCAATGATATTGAGGTCAGGAGACTGTGAAGGCGACTCAATAACCCTCTCTTTCTTCAGCTGGAGGCAGCAGAGGGTTGACTTGGCCTTGTGTTTCGGATCACTGTCGTGTTGGAAAGTGCGTCCCATGCGCAGCTCTCGGGCTGATGAATGCAAATTATCTTCCAATATTTTTTATAAAAGTAGAACAGGAGCCAGAGCCTTAAGCTACCAAGCTCCTCTCCTGTGAAACCAGCTTCCAGTTTGGGTTCGGGAGGCAGACACCCTCCCCACTTTTAAGTGTAGGCTTAATTCAATTTTATTTGTATAGCGCCAATTCATAACAGAAACGGGTCGCCACAGACAGAACTACCAGAAGAGGAGAGACTCTGTTCCCAGTGTGACAGAGGACAGGTAGAGACAGAGCTGCATTTATAATCTCATGTCCTAAATTCAAAACTTTAAGAGAAAAACAAAAGAGAGAAATTATTGCAGCAAAATATGTCTCCTCATGCCACGAACTGAGGACGACCAGTGGAAACTCAGATAAATGTATAAAATAATTGATTGTTTTAGTTGTATTTGCTGTTTTTTTAATACACACACACACACACTTTAATTTTAATATATATATTATATTTAATTTGTTATTACTGTTATATTGACAACAGACTTGTTTTAACTGTAGTCTGTTACTTTACTACTGTTAATTGATTGGAATTAATTACTAATTGACTGAGATTGATTGATTGTGATTGAGTCAATCATAGTTGCAGTATTACCAACTAGATTATAATAAATTTGTTGTAAATATTGTTTTCCTTTATTATTATTTTTAGAGAGAGAGAGAGGGGGAACAACAATATTGGCAATGGCAATCTAGCAGGACCATGGCAGGACGCTCCACCAGGATCGATAAGAACCTACGAGACGAGAAAGCACATGCATTAATGGGACATGAATGAGTGCAGAAAGAGAGGAGCTCAGTGCACCATGGGAAATCCCCCGATAGTCTAGGCTTATAGCAGCATAACTAAAGGATGGTTCAGGACTCACCTGATCCAGCCCTAACTATAAGCTTTATCAAAGAGGAATGTCTTAAGGCTACTCTTGAATGTGGAGAGGGTGTCTGCCTCCTGAACCACAGCTGGAAGCTGGTTCCACAAGAGAGGAGCTTGGTAACTGAAGGCTCTGGCTCCTGTTCTACTTTTAGAGACTATAGGAACCACAAGTAGCCCAGCATTCAGAGAACGTAGTGTTCTAGAGGGGTAATAGGGTACTATGAGCTCTTTAAGATATGAAGGGGCCTGACCATGAAGAGCTTTATAGGTGAGGAGGAGGATTTTAAATTCTATTCTACATTTTACAGGGAGCCAGTTCAGAGAAGCTAGTACAGGAGAGATGTGATCTCTTTTCCTAGTTCCTGTCAGTACTCGTGCTGCAGCGTTCTGAATTAATTGGAGCGTTTTAATGGACTTATTGGGGCAACCTGATAATAAAGAGTTGCAGTAATCCAGCCTTGAAGTAACAAATGCATGGATTAGTTTTTCTGCATCTGTCTGTGATAGGATGTGTCTAATCTTTGTAATATTACGTAAATGAAAGAAGGCAGTCCTGGAGGTCTACTTGATGTGGGAGTTAAATGACAAATCCTGATCAAAGATAACTCCTGACAGTGGTGCTAGAGGCCAAGGTAATGCCGTCTAGAGTAACTATATCTTTAGACAGTGAGTCTCTAAGGTTTTTGGTGCCAAGAACAAGAATTTCGTTTTTTTTCTGAGTTTAACATCAGAAAATTGCAGCTCATCCAGGATTTTATGTCCTTAAGACATGTTTGTAATTTAGATAATTCATTTCATGGGGCTTGATCGATAGATATAACTGCGTATCATCTGCATAGCAGTGAAAGTTAATGGGGTGATTCCTAATAATGTTGCCTAAAGGGAGCATATATAAAGTAAATAGTATTGGTCAAGTACAGAACCTTGTGGATCTCCATGACTAACTGTAGTATTTATTGAAGATTCATCGTTAACATGTACAAACTGCGAACAATCTGATAAATATGACTTAAACCAGCTTAGTGCGGTTCCTTTGATGCCAATTTGATGCTCAAGATTCAAAATTCAAGAGGTTTATCATATGTACAGTAAGAAACACACGGTTTGTGTGTACAATGAAAGTCTTACATTGCCCGACTCCCTGAGGCAACACACAGGTAGAAGAGTAAAAATATAATTTTTAAATATAAAACATAACAAAAATATTAAAAGCTAAGAGCTGGTGGGTGTGGTGCGAGCAGGTGAGGTCCTTGCTAATGTGAGATCCGAGGAATTTAAAGGTTTTCACTCTCTCTACCTCTGTCTCACCGATGTACAGTGGGGTGTGCTGTTCCCTCCTCCTCCCCCTCCTAGGATCAATAATCATCTCCTTTGTCTTGTTTGTGTTCAAGGAGAGATTATTTTCCTGACACCAGGCCACCAGTCCTGCTACCTCTCTTCTGTATGCTGTCTCCTCCCCACCACTGATCATTCCAAAAACCGTGGTGTCATCTGCAAACTTTATAATGCCGGTGTTGGTCTGGGAGGACACAGTCGTAGGTAAAGAGCATGTAGAGCAACAGCCCTGGAGGGTCCCTGAGCTCACAGTTTTGATGCCTGATGTCCGGTTTCTAACTCTGACTGACTGGGGTCTGTCTGTGAGGAAGTTCAGCACCAAGTTACAGAGGGAGGGTGTCAATCCAAGGGTGAGGAGAATTAAGACGTTCCTCTTGATAAAGCTTATAGTTAGGGCTGGCTCAGGTGAGTCTTGAACCATCCCTTAATTATGCTGCTATACGCCTAGACTACCGGGGGATTTCCCATGATACACTGAGCTCCTGTCTTCCTGTCCCTCTCTCTGCACACATTCATGTCCCATGAATGCATGTTACTAACTTCACTTCTTTCCCGGAGTTTTTGTGCTTTCTCGTCTTGCAGGTTCTCATGGATCCTGGTGGTGCCTCCTGCCATGGTCCTGCTTGACTCCCACTGCTAATTACTAATTAGGGACCGAAAAAGCGACCGCTAGAGGTCTGTCCACTCAAAAGACTGCAGGGGCAGTCTTTTGAGTGGACAGACTCCAAACTCCATTCCAAAAGCAGGATAGTAAAAGAACAGATCTGTGACTCCAGGATGAAAATGGTAAACTGTGGGACCTGGACAATATGTATACATCTATGGCTAACACTTGTGCCTGTAGATCAAAGCAAATCAGAAAAGAGTCTTAGTGAGATATAGATATAGATATAGATATATATATATATATATATAGATCTATATATATATATATATATATATATATATTATATATATATATATATATATATATATATAGATCTATCTATTCTCTATATAGATCTTTTTTTATATAGATCTATCTATCTCTCTATATAGATCTATCTATCTATCTATATAGATATATAGGGAGATATATAGATATATATATCTATATATAGATATATATATCTTTATATAGATATATAGATCTTTATATAGATAGAGATATATAGATAGAGATATATAGATATATATAGATAGAGATATATAGATAGAGATATATATATATTTTTCTTCTTCTTCTATCTTCTATCTATCTATATCTATATCTATATCTATATCTATATTTTATATATATATATATATATATATATATATATATAGAGAGATATATATATATATATATATATATATATATATATATCTATCTATATATAACATCATAACCCGGTCTTTTTATTGTTTGATGTACAAAATGGATGCAGGAGCTTTTAGGCATGGTGCCTCTAGGCACTTTTACAAGACTTGTATCACCCAAATAGGGGCTAGTCGTTCTGAAGATAGAAAAGTGACTGCATGCCTGCTTTAATCTATTACATGTGGTCAGGTTGGTTGTCAGGTAAATTGAAATAAGGTAAATTTTTCTTCATTCTGTTTTTAGGAACATGAACCTAAGGTTTAGAAACTCTCTGAGTGTGTGGCTATGTGTATTACCCTACCGTCAGTTGCGAGGTCAGTCTCTCAATCTGTTCTTTTTGATGCTCAATCAGCTGTTGGGGAACAGAGGTAATATGTTAAGGGATTTTTGACTGTGTATGAGTGCATGCATTTGTGCATGTGTGTGTTTAGGATGCTACCATGCTGCTGTGGTCTTGCTGCTCTAGAAGTTGAGTGTTTTCCACCTCAAGCAGCTTCAGGTCCTGCATTGGCAACCTCACCCCATCGTCCAAACACTGCTGCACCTTTTTCTGCAGGCTTCAAGATAAGAAATGTTGTCAAAAAGAAAGAGATGCAGAGAAAAAGAGACAAGACAGACATGTTCTTATACAGATCAAGATATAAGACCATGTTAGCAGCAGGCTGCCATCTAATGTAGAAGGAGTTTGTTCAGACTGAATGCAAAATAATTGTAGAAGCAGTGGAACTGAAGCACTTAATTATTCACAATGGGCAGCACAAATTAAGGTTAATCTAATGACTTAAAAATGTTTCAACTTGAACCATTTTTTTCTTATTCCAAGACTTTTTGACACCCATGGTGTAACTTCACCACTCAGTAACTCAGTCACAGAGTTTAATGGGCAGACCCTGTGGTTTGTGGCAGTCCAGCAAATAGAGCTTACGATATGTGCACACTGCATAGACATGGTTGGTGTGTAAATTGCTAACTGGCCAAGGCAAACACATACATTGGTTGGTTGAACAGAAAAAAACTCCAGCAGTCAAATTAGTATGATTAACAAAAGGTGACACAAAGTTTGATTTGCCTTCAATCTGAATATCATATAAATTAGATATTAGATGATGCCCCACCTGTGTACAGATGCAATTAACTCTTTCTCTCTCTTTGCCTGCATCTCAATCTTGATGTTTTTCTCCTTCATCAGAGCACATCCTTCCTCCAGGCTCTTCTGTAACCGAGACATTGTTTTCTCCAGATCCTTGGCCTTCTGTTGTAACTCTTCCTGCTGAGGACACACAATGGCACATAGTGTTGTCACTAGAATTGAGCAATGTCTTTTTTGTTTAACTGTTAATTGACTATGTTTGACAGACATCATTTACAACATTACAGTTTGATAGAATAAAAAAAAACAACTAAATGAAATCAACAAATTATCAAAATATAAAGAAATAAATGTGTGTGATTTTGGCACACGCATTTAGTTAATGAATTAATATCTGGTTATGATATTGATGTACTCTGTCTTACTGAGACCTGGCTGTGCCATGAAGAATATGTTAGCCTAAATGAATCCACCCCCCTTTTTATCTGAATGAGTTTTTATCAAGTTTAGTCCTTAAAACAGATAAGTAATTATTGTAGGTGATTTTAATATTCATGTTCAAGTTGATAATGACAGCCTTAATAATGCGTTTATCTCATTATTAGACTCAATTGGCTTCTGTCAGTGTAAATAAACCCACTCATTGTTTTAATCACACTCTTGACCTTGTTCTATCATATTGCATTAATATTGAACATTTAAGTCTTCCCACATAATCCTTTTTTATTAGACCAATATTTATTAACTTCTGAATTCCTGTTACTAGATTACAAGCCATTAGGCAAAACTTCCTACAGCAGCTGTCTTTCTGATATTGCTCTAGCTAAATGTCAGGAGGCGATTCCATCTGTATTTAATTCAAAGGCATGTCTCAATATAACAGGACTCCAATAATAACCTCTGTCCCTCCCAAATTGATCATCTTGTTAATAGTGCTACAGGCTCACTGCGAACAACACTAGATTCTATTGCCCCTATAAAAAGGAAAATATTAAAACATAGGAAGCTAGTGCCGTAGTAGTATAGTATAATCACCAAAACCCGCCAATTAAAGCAAAAAGCACAGAAATCTGAAAGGAAATGGCACTCTTTCAAACTAGTACTAGAAATCACATTCAATCTAGCAAGATAGTCTTAAAACATGTAGAAAGGCCCTTCGTAATGCCAGAGCAGCCTATTATTCAACATTAATCAAAGAAAATAAAATAAGGTATCTGCAATGTAGCCAGGCTGACAGTGTCATAACTCTATTGAACCATGCATCAAGCTGCATCAATTAACTTCAATAATTTCTTCATCGAAGCCATCAACCTGTCTCTTAGACCCCATCCCAATTAGGCTGTTTAAAGAAGTCTTACCCTTAGTTGGCACTTCTGTATTATCAATCTTTCTTTATTTTCAGGCTATGTACCACAGTTCTTTAAAATGGCAGTAATTAAACCCCTTCTTAAAAAGCCCACTCTTGACCCAGGGGTTTTAGCCAACTATAGACCGATTTCTAACCTCCCCTTTCTTTTCAAAATTCTCGAGAAAGTAATTGCCAAACAGTTGTCTGACTTTTTACATAGCAACATCTTATTTGAGGATTTTCAGTCAGGATTTAGAGTACATCATAGCACAAAGACAGCACTGTTGAAAGTTACTAAAGACTGTTTAATTGCATCAGATACTTGTCTCTGTACTTGTATTGTAAGATCTTAGTGCTGCATTTGACACCATTGACCATAATATTCCATTACAGAGACTTGACCATCTAATTGGCATTAAAGTAACGGCACTAAGCTGGTTTAAGTCCTATTTACTGTATCAGATCGATTTTAGTTTGTACATGTTAACGATGAATCCTCCATGGTAAATGGTAAATGGACCTGTACTTGTATAGCGCCTTTCTAGTCTGCCGACCACTCAAAGCGCTTTTACACTACATGCCACATTCGCCCTTTCACACACATTCACACAGTGAAGCACGGCATCAGGAGCAATTTGGGGTTCAGTATCTTGCTCAAGGATACTTCGACATGTGGCACCAGGAGCCGCCGCCCAGACGCACACAGTCATGGAGTTCCACAGGGTTCTGGCTTGGACCAATTCAATTGACTTTATATATGCTTCCCTTAGGCAACATTATTAGGAATCACCCCATTAACTTTGACTGTTATGCAGATGATACCCAGTTATATCTATTGACCAAGCCTAATGAAATTAATCAATTAGCTAAATTACAAGCATACCTTAAGGCCATAAAAACCTGGATGTCCTGCAAATTTCTCATATAAACTCAGACAAAACTGAAGTTTTTGTACTCTGAAACTCACTGTCTAAAGACATAGTTACTCAAGATGGTATTACCTTGGCTGGGGCACCACCGTTAGGAATCTTAGAGTTATCTTTGATCGGTATATGTCTTTTAACTACCACATAAAGCAACCTTCTAGGACTTACATAAATTACATTACATTGCAAAATTCCGACACATCCTGTCACAGACAGATGCAGAAAAACTACTCCTTGCATTTGTTACTTCTAGGCTGGATTACTGCAACTCCTCCTTATTATCAGGCCGCCCCAATAAGTCCATTAACATGCTACAATTGTTTCAGAATGCTGCAACGCAAGTACTGAGAGGAACTAGGAAAAGAGATAATATTTCTCTTGTATTAGCTTCTCTGCACTAGCTCTCTGTAAAATTCAGAATATAGTTTAAAATCCTCCTGTTCACCTACAAAGCTCTTCATGGTCAGGCCCCTTCATATCTTAAAGAGCTCATAGCACCCTATTATTCCACTGCACACTCTGAATGCAGGGCTACTTGTGGTTCCTATAGTCTCCAAAAGTAGAACAGGAGCCAGAGCCTTAAGCTACCAAGCTTCTCTCATGTGGAACCAGCTTCCTTGGGTTCAGGAGATGGACACCCTCTCTACATTTAAGAGTAGGCTTTAGATCTTTCTCTTTGAAAAAGCTTATAGTTAGGGCTGGCTCAGGTGAGTCCTAATCCATTCCTTAGTTATGCCGCTATAGGCCTAGACTGCCAGAGACTTTCCATGATGCACTGAGCTCCTCTCTTCCTCTTCCTCTCTTTCTGCACACATTCATATCCCATCAGTGCATGTTACTAACTTCACTTCTTCACTGTGTTTGTGCTTTCTCATCTCACAGGTTCTCATGGATCCTGGTGGTGCCTGCCGCCATGATCCACTTGACTACCACTGCTAATATTACTGATATCATTGTTATTCTTATTATCACTGTACAATCTATTGCCCATGTGCAACTGCTGCTGCTAATATTTGTTATCTGTTGTTGTGGATTCTTACTGTTTTTTCTCTTGTATATAGTGTTTTTATTTATTATTTCCCTACTCTTACTGTTTTTCATACAGTTTTTTTTCTCTATCCATTTTGCTGCTGTAATATTGGAATTTCCCCATTGTGGAACAAATAAAGAATATCTATCTATTTCTATGATTTTTATTATTACTATTATTGTTCATCATCCACCATAGTTTTGGCTGTTGTTGCAGTCTTCATCATCTTCATCATCATCATCATCATCAATCATTTCTATTAGTAAAGTATACTGTTGCTGTGCAACCTTTGTCTATGTCCTTCTCTTTTTACCCATTCCCTCTACCTGCTCTATTTGAAAAGTGTCCTCAGATAACTTTTGTTATGAATTGGCGCTATAGAAATAAAATACTTACTGTGGTATGTGCAAATCAGCACACCGCCAATACATGATTTTACCTTTTATCTTGCCAATGTTGTCCTCTGGAAAACCACTAGCATTAAGCATGTATGATTGATATCCCTATCCCTATAGAAAAGCCACTAACCCTAACCGTGCACAGTAAATTCTGATTTTCATAGCTTGTGTGTGTGTGTGTATATATTTATGTTTATGTGTACCTGCCGGGACTGTGCCTGCACCTCATCCAACGTTGGCAGGTCAGAAAGGTATTTCTCAAGCGTCTCTATGCGTTGCTGTTTTTCTTGGTTCTGTTCGCTCTCTCTCTGACATTTCTTTTTCAAACTACTGATGTAGCGATCTCTTGTCTTTATCTGTTGACAAAAAACATCTCATAACCGATGCACTGGTTTCATTTGTTGAATGTACTAAACTAATTTCAACAGATAAAAAAAGCATATGTTATGTTACAAAATAAAAAACATAAATGAATCTGTTCACATAAGTTGTTATGTTGGGTACAAACTATTTAAAAAGCAAGGAAAAAGTGTAAATCCTTTGCCATTCAAATAAAAGTGGCATATATTTTAGTTCCTGATGTCATTTCCAGGATTTAGATGGAATAAATTCTCCGCTCACCATTTTACTTTCAATTTATATTATATTGTGAATTCTATGGAAATGTATTGTACCTTTTCCTCCAGTTTTCTGATGTCTTCTGTATATTTTTGTGTGGCTTGCTGGAAGAACTCATTCAAATGGAGTACTTCCAGTTCAACCACTGATAGCTTCCTACCAAGTTCTTCATCAGATGGTTGTTTGCATGGCACTCTCATCGCTGACTCCTATTTGACAACCAGAACTTGTGCTGTGGGTCTTATTATGAAAATATTTCACGTGATGAGAAATTATTAATATGGATTCTTATTTGTCACAGAAATGTGGTGTCACCTTGGTATTTAGAACGTCGTCAAACCACCCTCTCTGGCTCTGCAGGACCTGCTGTGCTCTGAGCTCATTCTCTCGGATCCGGGCATGAAGTTGCAAGATCTGCTGCTTTTGTCTGAAACAGAATCCTTCCTGTTCAACATTTTATCTGTAAATATAGTTTAAATGCAAAATGTATCTTTTTTCAGGCATTTTGAGAGCATTATACAACTATATATGAAGACTGAATGAGTGTAAGCCAAAGCAGGCAGGTCAAACATTAGGGCCTGCAAAAGACAGTAGAACCTGTGCATCTGCAGACCTGTGCATCTGCTTGACATCAGTTTTGTTGTGACAGAAAATAAGTATGCTAATAGACCTAATAGTGAAGCTGTAAAAAGATGCCAACAACTACAAATGCTGGATGAGGCAATTTCACAGCACGGGTCACTGTCTGCTGATTTGTAGCAGCACACTAGGTAGCACTATTCTGTAGTCAACCCAGACAACTGTGCTGCTGCATAATTAGGGCCCGAGCACTATTGTAATTGAAGGAATTCTTCTTATTAGTGACCGAGCCAGCGACCGCTGGAGGTCCCTATTGTAATTGCTAAAGTTATTATTTGGGGTAAAGTTTGACTGATCATTTGCCCCCCTGAACATATGAAAGTGCAATTTTATTTGGCAAAGTGGTCAGGCCTGGGGACACTTAGATATTCTATGTGTCGCTTTTGGGTCGGCCACTATGTGGCGCTATTATTAAGAAAAGTAGGTTTAGGCTAACAACTCCCGCATCGTTTGTCTCACATTCAAAAACCTTATATCCACGTGTTCGGTGAATGGAGCTGCATCTCCCCATATAGGCCACACCCATTTCCGCCTAGCATTTTTTTTAGCTAGAGCGCGAAATGTCCAAAAACTACTTTTTCGTGTTCCTCCTACGTGCTTTGTCCTTTTTGCACGAAACTTTTCACGTAGCATCTGGGGACCGTCCTGACAACAAAAGTAATTTGAAGAATTTAGATATTTTACAAAAATAAGCACGTTATAAAATTAGCACTTCCTGTAGATTTTTCGTCAAAACAGAAAGTGGAGCATTTTCCACATTGGTATGTCCGATTGACACCAAGCTTGGGTCCATAGTTCCCCATGTCTTCCCGGCATCGTGCACAATTTGAGGTCCTATGGCTCCCTGAGGCTTGCGTGTCAACAATCTGCCAGGTGGCGCTCTGGTGGCAGGGTAAATCTATATATATATAAATATAACCGAAGGGCGTGTCCGTGGCTTTCCGTCAAACTTTGGTGTACTGCCAGAAGACACAAATTTACTATAACTTGAGTGTACATTGTCCAATTGACACAAAGCTTGGGTCCACAGTTCCCTATGCCTTCCTTAGGCATCGTGCACTATTTGAGGTCCTATGGCTCCCTGAGGCTCGCGTGTCAACAATCTGCCAGGTGGCGCTCTGGTGGCAGGGTAAATCTATATATATAAATATAACCCGCTCTGCCTCTGAGCCACAGCCACCCCTGGAAGAACTAAACAACAGGAACATGTACATATATATGTTGTGAGTATAGTTACATACGTATAGTATAGTACAGACACACAAACACACTGTAAGGATTAAAAGAAGCCACTTAGGTCTGCACAGAGATTTGTGACCAGGACTGTTGGAAGAAGTGTCAGGGCAACTCTAAGTGTTTGTGAGTGTATCTTTCAGTACCTATCTATCTCCAACTCTCTCTGTCTCAGCAGCCCCTCCTTAACCTTCACCAGAGTGTTGACAGGAAGGGTGGTCCCAATCAGCATCTGCAAACACACACAAACACAGGTTGTTGAACACATACAGTGCACAAGTATACATGACATAATTTAATAACAATAGTATAATTTAGTAGTTGTTTTAATTATCAATAAATATTTATGATAATGGGTAAAATGCAGAATTTGTGTTTTGTGTGGTCAGGTGTGGTAACGCTACATCATAGCTGCACACAGTATGGACTAGAACAGAGAATCTTTGGGAATCTGATTTCTGATTCTAGGTTTCATGGTATTTCATAACTGATTCTTGAGTTTCGTGGCCACCAGTTTCTCCTACACAGTTGGAAGGCTGAGCTGTATTTAAATGCATACTCCATAGGACACCTTTAACCTAATATGGTACAAAGTCATTATTTTTCACATCAAGTGAATTGTGCATGTTAAACATAATGATATTTGAGGATATACCTCCTTCCTGTCTAACCTCCATTCTTTTTGCTTTTTTCTTGCCTCATTATTATAATATTTCTCTCACCTGGTTAAGCCCTGGTTCCTTCTGATGTCCCTGCTGCCATGGTGACAACCCATCTGCACTGCAGCCCTCTGTTCCAGTGTTGATCTGACTAGATTTACCTCTACACTGTACTGTGGGCCTGTACTCCATCTGCTCAGTCAGCCACATCTGGGTACGAAATGCAGTCTGAATTGGGGAGCCTCTATCAGTCTGATGACCCAGTGGTGAGTCTGCTTGTTTGGGTAAGCTGAGGCCATAAACCTGTCCACCTCCGCGAGCCAGTTTTGCATCCGATAAAGCACTATAGTTCATGTCCAAACTGTTGTGTTTTACCGGTGAGGACAGGGCTGAGGAAAGGGATAGGTCTGTGTCCAAACCAGTGGCTCTACTGCTGTGGTACTGGTAGTATGGGCCACTACCTGGTGAGCGCTGCAGCAAGCTATGGCAGAGCAAAGAGGAAGATAAAGGCAGATAAAGGTCCACAGTTGAACCAAGGGGCTCCTTTCTGTACCCATATCGCAGACCCCTGTCCAGAGAGCCTTGTGAGCCTGGGTTGTACTGATTGCCTGATGTCCTAGAGCAGCTCTTATCAGCCCCAGATGACAACTTAGTGAGAGAGGACCACCTCCGGATGGGCTGGTGGTCTTTCATATCCAGACAGCATGGTGCATCCAAGGGAGACATAGCTGGCATAAATAGCTGGCAAGACCCGCTCGAGTGATTTGTTCTGCTGGGGGAGGGTGGTATTCTAAAACTGCTGCAGGGTGACAAGGATGGGGACGGCATGACATGGACAATAGGGATGCCATCATCATCGTCCTGGTGCAAGTGATGCTGGGCCTGAGGCGGGCAAGACAAAGGTGTGGTACTTGAACTGGAGTCGTCTGTAGGAAGAGATACAGGCCAAAGAGACCATTAGAAAGTTAATTTTATCACCATCACAAAAATATCAACACAAGCACATTAGTGAACATTACTGTGTTTAGTAGCATCGTACTGAATGAATTAGTACCTCTAAAACTTGTATGTTTGTAAGTATTGTAAGTAAGAAGGATTTTTATTTAGTTCAAAATGTAGAAACACAGTACAGTCGAGAACTAAAACTGCAACTGCCTAAAGGTACATTAAGTGATTATTAGACTATTATTAGAGTCCATTGCCCAACCTTCAAACCACACTGGCATAATGGCATTTCCTGAGGTGCAGGTTTCTTTTCGTCCTTGTGCCAGTTTGGTATTTGCTGCACTGCAGTAGGAGGAGAGGCCTGATGGGCTTTGTGTGTCAGTCAGACCAAATTATAGGCAGGTAAATAATAAATGTCAATAATTAAGCCAAGATGATTATGATAATGATTTAACATATGGACAAGTTAAAGACCAAATTTAAACAATGAAATGTAGGCTAAAGTCAGACAGTCACATAATGTTACCACTATGATGTAACATTCCTTTGAAACACCTGTGAGTGTGGGGCACCCCATAAAGGGTCAAAATATTGTTTCACCTCACCTTTGATGTGTGATTAAAGGTCATTAGTCAAATCAGTGTAAAAAATAACTATCTGTGAACTCCTGAACAGTGCAGGACTATTAGAAGGAAACATAAATTTCACCATAAAACCATTTTACTCCAAGTAACAAGAAAAAGATTATTTGTATGTTGTGCAACTGGGGGGAGCTAAACAGCAGCATGGGTGTTGTGATGATGATATGGTTTCATTTTCACATAAAAAGAAACAGTGTTTGACTGCGTTTGAGCACCAAGCATCATCTATGTAATTACAGAGTCGGCCTTATCTCGCTCTGTACTCTACTGTGTCAGAACAAGGTCCACCTGTCAAGTGTTTGATCCAAGATGTTGATGAAGCAGGTCTCTGTAAAGATGAGGGCACAACAGTCTCTGATTTCCCATTGTTTTGCCAGGCCCATTTTGTCCAGATTGGACATTAGCCAGGAGCGGCCTCAAGTCCAAAGTCATTTCAAGGTTTCCTGTTGCTGTTGAACACTACATATGCAGAATAAATAGACAGGCCATCCTGCCATCCTGCCATCCTACCTTCCAAGCTGTCAGAGCAGTAAGTGCCTATGCCAGTGTCACCACTGTCAGACACTGTGCTGTGTCGGCGACCACCAAAGATACTGTTTCCAGGGCCAGGGGTGTTGGTGTGCCAGACTGATTCATGGCCAGGGATCCATCCTGGAGAGCCACCACTAATGGAGCCTGAAACAATATTTTAAAGCTATAATCACACAAGTTAGACAAGTCATTCAGTGACAAAAAACTGAGGTTATAGGTAGGCCACGTAGTAATGCTTAATGGACTTATAGCCACAAAGAGCAATAAAGATTTTTTTATTGTTTTGTAGTAATGTAAGAAACTGACATTTCATTTCTACTAATCAGAAGGTTGGCGGTTCGAGGTTTTCCTCCTGCTGCATGTCAAAGTGTCCTTGAGTAAGATACTGAAACTGTATGACTGTGTGCTTAGTTTCTGTTCAGGTGTATGAATGTGTGCAAATAGGGTGAGTGTGGCATGTAGTATACAGCGCATTTAGTGGTTAAAAGGCGCTGTATAGGTGCTCCATTTACTTGAGAGTCCTTTTGTAAAACGTATTAAACAATGCACAACAGTTTTGAATGCTCTGAGACAGGATTTTACAACTGTGGAAAATTATGACAGTGGCAATTATTTGATCTTTTATCAACACAAGTAAGGTAAACAGCAGAAATATATTTAAGTACATTTAATTGGCCAATGTTTTACCAGTGGTATTAGCACCCGCAGAACAACCTAATTTAAATGAATAAGGGTGCAGCATTTTTTATACAGGGCTTAAAGCTGCAGTAGGTAACTTTTATGAAAATATTTTTTGTCGTATATGCTGAACACTTTCACTATAGCCTGACAATAGGACATGAGATTCTGTGACGACATCAGGTTGCTCTGGCTACTCCTAGTGCTTCTCATGGCCTTCGCAAGAATCCACAGGGCCTAAATAAAACAACCAATCAGAGCTGAGAAAGACTGTTGATTGTGGAGTCTCATCCCTAACTACAGATGCCTTTCAGATTATTTGTCTCATGTACTACTTTCAGAACACTCTGAAAATGTCCGCAGTAATGACAAGTTGTTTTAATAAAAGTTCCCTACTAGTTTTTTCCTTCAGGAATCCCCTCTGAGTATTGTTTTATTATTAGGTTTGAATATTATAAAGGTTTCACAATCAATCAATAATCAAACTAGGATCACTATAAATGATACTGTCTAAACGGCCATCGCTATTTCTTCCCTTGTTCCAACTTTCATAAAATTAATTATTAAGTTCCAATATTTCAATCCTCCTTTTCTGGGGAACCCCTACAACCCACTCTAGGACCCTTGTTGGCACCTGGACCCCAGCTACTGATGTAGCCTACAGTGTAGGTTTTCAGTTGCTTTTGCTTTCTCAACTACTCTGTTCTGTTTCCTTGCAGGTGCAAACACCACAAAACCAAGTCACGCTTCTTCCTCATGTGTTCAATTTGTTGATACGTTTTGATGTAGCCTTGTAGCACAGTATAACAAAAGCATAATCCTAGACTTCGCTAGTCTGTGCTAGCTGCTGTACAATTGATACTCGGCCTTTAAAACGGAAAGGAGGGATCTAGCTAGTTCGCATCTTAAGCATGCATCATCTTTTCATCAAAGAATGTTATTTTACAGCCGTCTCACCTGTTTTATTAGATTCGTATCCGTCTTCAAAATCGTTTCTGTACCACATTGTGTGTGACTGTGGGCTTTTAAAACAGCAGGAAAACGGCAGCCCTATCGTGAACAAAAAACAAGGCCATCGTCTGAAAATACAGGTACTGTTTCATGTTACAAGTTCATGACAATATAGTACAAAAACTGAAAACTATATTAGGAATATATTTGGATTTCAAAAACGCTCTCTGCGTGATAACGGTATCCTTCCTATAAATTACGACCAGTCCTGGCTCTGTGGAAATGAGTTCCAGCAAACTCCTCCTCCGCAGTTCAGCCGCAGTGCTGCCTGCATGAGACACTACTGGCTACTACACGCGCGCAAGATGCAGGGGCGGATTTGGAGAAATATTTCTGTGATGTGCAAGAGGGTGTAAGAAATATATGTTGAATCGCACTATATTAAAAAAATTTGTTTGGACTGCTACTTGCTACTTTTAAAAATAAAACAATTCTGAGTGAGTCAAATGAAATTATTATTCATTTGTATGATGAATTGTTGAGGAAGAATTCAGCAGTCTCACATCCTGTGAGAAGAAGCTGTCTTTAAGTCTGGTGGTACAGCAGTGGAAGATTCTGTACCTATTCCCATATGGCAGCAGGGTGAACAGACTGTAGCTGGGGTGGGTGTGGTCTTTTAGTATTCTTTTGGCTCTGTGCAGGCACATCACCTCACCAATATCACTGATGCTCAGTACCGATGATCTTCTGGGAGGTTTTAATCACCCGCTGCAGAGTCCTCCTGTCTTGGTCCATGCACATCCCATGCCAGTTTGTAATGTTTCCAGTCAGCATGCTTTCTATCGCTATTATTAAACTAACTTGGCACAGGAATTTTGCTTTCTTAAGTTTCCTTAAAAAATACAATTTCTGTACCAGAGTATAGATATGACATGACATCATGAAATCCAGCCAATGATAGTAGTTTCATCTGCAAACTTCACAACAGAGTTGTCTCCATGTCAAGGGATGCAGTCACAGAAATAGAACAGGAAGAACAGGAGGAGGCTGAGGACATAGACCTGACAGGCTCTGGTGTTGAGCACTAGAGTGGAGGAAGTGTGATCACCAATCAGAACTCTCTGGGGGTCTGTTTGTGAGGAAGTCCAATATCCAGTTGCAGAGTGTGGTACTATTGTCAGTTTATACAATGGACAGAGCTTCCTGGTCTGAAAACCAAACAGTGTCTTAAAACCTGCATTCTATGTAAAGGCCAGAAGGGGGGAGCTCCATTGGCTGCAATAAAACACCGATACCATTCACTCTAATGGAGAATGAGCCAAGTTGTCACTTAATTTATGGTCCCAATTGCTAGTTTCACATCTTCTTCAATAGATTATGATGTTCATATAGTAAATTATGGTCCAATTTAGAGTAAAATAGACGATAAAGCAGCGTATGCTTTTGGGCGGGGCTACCACTAACAGGTCAGTGGTAGTGAGTCTTTCCAGTGCAGCGCACGAAACTCTGATCAAACTGTCAAACTAGACAGTGCTAATCAAATACGAAGCAAGATTCTGTTACTATGTTGCCTATTTCTCACTTAAATCGTTTCAGAAACATATTTTAGTGTACTGTTTAACTGTAATACGAGATTGTGTGTGACCCTATACAGTGTGTTATATATACAGTGGTGTGACTAGACAAGCCACCATTGTTTCTTGCTAAGGATGAGTCAAAACTGTGCAGTTGATCTATGCTCGTAGATCAACTGCACAGTCATCTGTTGATTTTGAATGCAAACTGGTGAGGGTCCAGAGCTACGGGGATGTTATTCTTTATGTGCTGGAGAACCAGTTTCTCACAGCACTGCATCAGAATCCAGTTCCTGCCGGTGTCTTGCTCTGGCGGTGCTATTTGCTTCCTTGTCACCTGACCAAGATACAGCTTTTCTGGCTCTGGACAAAGCCCTCACCTCTCCATTCATCCAGGCTTTCTGGTTGGGGAATGATTTTATTGTCTCTGCATTCACCACATCATCAACACATTTGCTAATGTATATTGTCACTAATGATGTATAGATTGAGGTGGTTCTCCTGGGTGGCACCCTGTTTAAACATGTGCTAGTGTGTGCACTCAAAACAGTTCTGTATAGGGCTGCTGTTCATCTGTCCACACTTTAACAGTTTTTACTGATGGTTTGACCCTCTTCATCAGCTGGTTGTAAATTGGTTTGGCATATGGGTTTCTGTGAAACCTTTAAAGGACCTTTGGGGAACCTAAATATTTCACAAAATACTCTCAGAAAACATTTCATTTAAAAGCCTTTAAAAGGCTCTTTTAAAGAACATTATTTAAAGGTTACATAAATAAAAAAAAAACATTCCCTGGAGGTTACCTGTTTACATGTAACAAGAGATACACACCAAAATCAAATCTGAATATGCAAATTAAAAAACTATTTTTCTTGTTTCTCATTGATGAAATGAAACAATACATCGACACAATTTCCTCGTCAAATGTTAACAAAGCTGTGTGTTGTAAAGTTACAGGTTATTTGGGGCTGGCTGTGGCCTAGGTGGTAGAGTGGGTCATCCATTAATCAGAAGGTTGGTGGTTGGCTCCCCCTGTTGCATGTCAAAGTGTGAATGGGTAAATTGAAATGTGTGTGAATTGGTAAATGTGGAATGTAGTGTAAAGTGCTTTGAGTGGTCGGAAGACTAGAAAGGCGCTATACAAGTACAGTCCAATTACCATTTTATTTCATTGTTAATGATTTACTTTGAATAAAGTTGGGGGAAAATGTTTAGAACTTTAAAAAGTAAAGTACATGAACAGATAAAAGGGAAAAGTAGGTTGCATACCAATATACCCATATATATTTAGACTGCTTTTCAGCAATCAATCTTCATTGACTTCAATAATTTCTTTATCAAAGCCATCAACCTATCTCCATCCCAACTAGGCTGATTAAAGAACCCTTTCCCTTGGCGTTGTTGTTGTCATCGCCGTCGACATCATCATCATCATTATTAATAATTTCTACTAGTATAGTTGTTGCTATTGTTATTGCTGTGCAATTCTGTCTCTGTCTCTCACCTTCTCTCTTTACCACCCATCCCCTCACCCCTCAACCCCTCACCTGTCAGTGGTCATAATGTTATGACTGATCGGTGTATAACATAAACTGTAAAAAAATAAATAAAAGAAAGAAGAACATTTAAACATTTGGGGGGTTAACAACGCTATACGGAATGTAAAGCTAAGGAATTGGAACGACAAGGACTATAATTTAAAACGGAAGAGACATAGACACAATTTATTAAAGGATGGATTATTCTTAGCTATAACATCTTTATGGATGACAAATATATTCCAAATTAATTTTAAAGCAAATTAGGGCTTACTGTTTTCCCATTTGCATTTATGTGTAAGAATATGTAGCCATAATGACATTCATGTTTACCATATTCGACACCTTCCATGTGAAATCAAAACCTGAAATAAAGTCCTGATCTTTAACCAGCTGTAAAGAGCCTGCCGAAACTGCATTGTGACTGAACAAGAAAACAAAATAAATGGATAAGGTTCAACTTCAAAATCAAACCTTTTCCTTAAGGTTTCAGCAGCTGGATTGATGATTATTGAACATAATTCTAAAATGAATGAATGTTCTTTATTATAGGTGATATTGGCCTTACATAAACAGATGTCATGGAAGCTGGAAAGAACCAGGAGCACTGCATGAAAGTTCAAAAATAAGGTTTGGTGAAAAAAAAACAGCTCTGATATAGACAACTAGGAGTAAGTGTTAACTAGATAGTAAGGTAGGAGAAATTCTTCCACAATATTGAGAGTTGCTAGTTCTCTGAAGAATTACGAATCCATTGTAATGAATCAAGTCCCTTTATTCATGCAGAATGGAGAAAAGACCACAGCTTAGATGTTCTCTTTAGACTTCCAGAATATACCTTTCAGTACATCCAAACAAAACCCATCTGGTATTCTATTAAAAGTACTGCTGTAAATCACAAATGGTCCTTTGATCTGCCCCTGTGACTGTGACCAGATTCTTATCAGTCATCCCCCTACCATAACATCACAACCCCCTTAAACAAACTGTATGCATTTACTACCCCATCTAAAACGTCTACGTCTACCACACAAGGCTTAATTTCCATAACACAAAGCACAGCGATGAGTGGAGGGGGAAATAAATGGTAAATGGACCTGTACTTGTATTGCGCCTTTCTAGTCTTCCGTCCACTCAAAGCACATGCCACATTCACCCATCGAACAGAAACCAAGGCATTCATATACATTCACACACCAATTTGGGGTTCAGTATTCAGTTCAGTATTTTGCTCAAGGATACTTCAACATGTGGCAGGAGGAGCCGGGGACAACCTTCTGATTAGGAGACAACTCACTTTGCCTCTGCGCCACAGCCACCCCTAGTAGGATGTAGTGGTGTGATCGAGCGGGTAATTACAAACAACTGTATAGTGAATGTAACAATTATGACTTTTGGAATTGAGGAGGAATGTTGGGATTATGGAGATTTGGAGTTGCAGAAAGTGGCGCTTAAAAGAAAGATTGAGAAAAAAATCAAACAGAAATGGGAGCAATTTAATTATTATAATCCATGTCATACTCTAACAACAGCATTATTTGAGGAACTAATAGGAGAAAACAGTCAATTGGAAATTTGGTGTGGAGATTTCAATGCACATAATTTATAGAGAAGTGTTCATACTATATAATGGAACAGTAATTGAAGAAATGATTGATGCAAGGAATCTTGTATATATAAATAATGGTAGAGGAGCAAGACGTGATATAAATAGAAAGAAAATGTCATGTGTTGATTTAACATTGGTTTCTGCAAATAGGGCTAGTCTTTGTGAATAGAAAATATGCAATGATAATATAAGTACTGATTTATATGTATTTTAAATATTGACTCAAGAAAATGATCATATATGGTGCTTTCAGAAGGCTCAATGGAACAAATTTAAAGAATGCTGTGGGGAGCTGGCTAGAAACATTAAAATGAATGGTAATGTGGATGAATGTGCTAGTGAAGTTACGTGTATGATATATGAAGCTGCCTCACAAAGTATACTTAAGTCAATGATAGCTGGGAATAAGATAACTGTGCCATGGTGGAATGAAGAGTGTAGCCTGGTTATTAAATTAATAAATAATGCTCTTAGAAACCCTGAGGGAATTGAGAAGGGCATTAGAAGGCAGTAGGTATTCTGCTTTGGCATCAGATCAGTTATGTTACGCCATGTTCAGGCAGTTACCAGAGTATGTATTACATGTAGTTTTGAAGCTATTCAATAAAATATGGACAGAAGGAAGACTTCCTATTAAATGGAAGATGACATTCATTTTTATCATTTGCTAAACCAGGGAAAGTTGCAGCTAATGCTAACAATTATAGACCTATAGCACTAACAGCTCATCTGTGTAAATGGATGTAAAAAAATATTGTTTATAGGTAATTGTATTTTTTAAAGAAAAAAGAGAAAGCTGTTTAATGAATACCAGAACGGATTCAGAAAAGGAAGATCTACAGCAGATGCAATGAAATTGAAAAGACAATAAACATGAAGGAAGTAATGGTAATAGATGTATTTGACATAGAGAAAGCATACAATTCAATGTGGAGAGAAGGGCTTTTAATTAAAATGAATAAGTTAGGAATAGGTGGAAGGTTGTACAACTGGGTCATAGATTTTTTTCAAGTTAAAGTACGATCAGAGATATCAGAAAATGTTGTCATCAAAAATGGGATACCACAAGGTAGAGTAATCAGTCCAATTCTTTTTAATATCATGATTCAAGATAAGTTTGAAAATATAGAAACAGATATCATATTTGAGTGGTCGGAAGACTAGAAAGGTGCTATACAAGTACAGGTCCATTTACCATTTAACATTATGTAGTAAACCTATGAAAAGGGTTAGAGTATTTAAGTATCTTGGTTTAAGGATAGATGATAAATATTCATGGAAGAGCAATATTGAAAATATAGAGACTAAGCGTAAAAACATTTTAATGAGATGTGTGGTAGCATGACAAAGAAGCATGATATACAGGGCTTCGAAGACAGATATATATATATATATATATATATATATCAATATAGAGCATTAAGATTAGGGTTAGGAGCAGTTAAAACCACACCCATTAACTCATTGCTTGTGGAATCCAGTGAACTTCCATTACAGTTAAGGAGATCTAAATTATCACTTACTTATTGGATCAGAATTCAGGGAAGAGAAACTGGAAATATGAATGGGAATATACACATTGTTCAGGTAGAGGTTTTGGATGGGATATAAACAAGAAAGTTAAAAAGTATAAACTAGACACTATTCAACACAGTCCAGCATGGTTATTTCCACAACAAAAAGTGAATCTGCAAATATTAGAAATTGGTCAGCCAGGAACTTTGATATTGGGAGATTGACTCAAGAATATTTGTCCAAAAATTATTATAACTATTTAAATATAGACTATTTACAGATGGGTCAAAACATGAAAAGAATGATCATGTAGGTGGGAATATATACTTTCCAGAATTCCATAAGAGCATTGCTAAAATAATTACAAATAGGTTATCAGCAGAAATTACAGCAATAATCATTAGTCTTCAATTGGTAGTACTGTAGCTGTACTTCAAAGTATACAGTCAGTACAAACAGTTAGAAATTATTTAATAACGAAAACATACATGATTTTATTAAACCTAAAACAACTATGTATTGATGTTCATTTTTATTGGATACCAGCGGATTACGATAGTGGTATTTTAGAAATATGTTTTGGAGGTCAGAGGTAAAATCAATAATTCAGGAGGAAATAGTGGAAACTTGGCAAAATATATGGAATAATGACATCAAGGGTAGGGACTATTATACAATTCAAAAATCAGTTAGAGTAAGAAATAGGACAAGTAAAAGCAGAAAAGAAGATATAATTCTAACAAGGTTAAGACTAGGTCATACAAGATTAAACGCTACACTATACAAACGATAAAAAAAGATAGATTCTGATAAGTGTGAAACATGTAATTTTAAAGAGAGTGTCAAACGTGCTGATGGATTGTAGAAGGTTTAATATGGAAAAGGAAAGATGGCAGTACATGGAGTATAGGAGGTCTGTTGGGGATAGGGGACAAACAAATACAGGTTCAAAGGGCCTTAATCACATGCTTAAATGAAACAGGTCTAATGTAATGTAATGTTAGAATATGGTCATGATTGTACACATTCCGATTCAGTAGGTGGCGACATTTGACGTTGGTTTGTAGCCCACCAGAAAATGAAAGAAGAAGAAGAAGAAGAAGAAGAAGAAACAGAAGCAGTAGCAGCAGCGTTAAGTAGCTACATAGACCGCTGGAAAGTTGATCTTTTGATCGACTAGTGATTTATTTTTTAATGACGAGGGCAGCACTTCGTAGCGTAACCGGAAGTGTTTTTGAAGAATATGAAGAAGAAGTAGTAGTGAAACCCACCCCGGATACCCGAGCAACTCAAGTCGCTTGTTTAACGTTACATCGGTGAAGAAAACTAGGGTGCCCTATAGTTTCTGGCTTTGTAAGAAACGGTATGTGAACGATATGTCTGTTTATATTAGAACAATGTTTGAGTTAGGTAGGTACGGTGATGTTACGGCAAAGAGTCTGTATGGCTAAAGACACTTAATACCTCCATCCCGTAACTAGCTAATTTATCACCGGATGTCCTAATTGCCATACCTGAAACTGGGGCTGTGTGGCACAAAGTGAATGCAAGTCATAAGTTATAAACTGGGACGTATCTAGATGGAACATCATCAACATGAATGGAGGCTTCACCAATCTGAAACTGAAAGACGTCTTTTGGTAACAGTAATATGGTAGCAAAAGTAAACATTAACGTTACATTCTTTACTCAAGCGGAAATACAGATTCTTGTGTTAAAATAGTATCGACTAAACTTCTTTACTAGTATAGTGGTAAGTTAGTGTAGTACAGGCTCTGAAATGTACTCAAAGTATAAAAGTAAAACGTACGTTACTCTCTTGGTTTCCCTGACATTTCGATAGGCTGTTGCTTGCAAAGCAATTACAGTAACGTTAGTCTCCATCTCGTCTGTTACGTCTTGATACGTCCTTACTTCTTTTACGTCGGTGCATGTCATACCAACACCAGAAGCGGCGTAGGGGAGACTGGGGTAAGTTGAGCCAAAGGGTAAGTTGAGCCACCCCTTGTTGCTAGGAAATGGTAAAAAACATGGATCATGTGACCGAATATTTTGGAGGAAGGCATCATTTCATGGAGTCTGTGAATGTAAGAACCACATGGGTAAAGTTAGATATTTATTTCTAAAAAAAAACATTTTCACTCTTGAAAGTCAATTTAGTCTATCATAAGTTTCATGAGAATTGTGTTTAGACCAAAATAGATGATTTTAAATTTGTTTTATACATCAATTGTGGTATCTATGAGCTACAACATGAGGTCATAAACCTAGCATAAAAGTGAACCATTTTAGCTGTGGGGACTAATAAAGTCAAAATGGTAGCTCCGGGGTAAGTTGAGCCATTTGGCCAGGGGTAAGTTGAGCCGGTGGCTACAGCCAAAATACACTCAAGTGTATCCAAAAACATATTCTGTGTATATTCCAAAAACACAGCTGTTAATGTTCTTCATTCTCATGTTAAAATGTTTTTTTCACAAAACAGCTGTTTAACAGTAATATGCAATAATAATAATAATAATAATAATAATAAAAAAAGTTATTGTAACTGTTACAAATAAATAAAATACACATAAATGTGAAGAAGTGAGTGTTATTTAGGTAGGGAGAAGGTGAGGGAGGGGTGGGCTGGAGGTGGGGAGGGAATAGGGATACGGCTCAATTTACCCTGCTTAAAATCTAATCCTATTATGCAAAAAACTTTGGTGTGTGTGCGTGTGTGTTTTTGATGATTGCAAATGATCTTTTTGATTATTAGAACTGTAGGCGAATCCATGCAGAACAAGATATCACATGTTCCTGAATGCACACAAACTTAAGTATAAATCTGTTGTTAACTTGGTTCGGTAGGAATGATTCATGGCATTTATTTCTGATTGTCATTCACATGATCAACAATGTCAAACCCTGACTATTGCATTGTCTATTATCATTCTTCCAGGGGTCCAGATCACTTCACTATGTTGATAAGCCCAGAACAGGAGGCGCTAATTGGCCGGGTGTTTGAAACCTATCTGACAGAGCATCATCATGAGCACATTCTTCAGCTTGTTGCAGATACTGATGAAGAGACCCATCACCCTGTTGTTATTAATGCCATGACATTATTTGAAGCGAATATGGAGGTAATGCCAACAGAATTTAAATCACGATCTACTGTATTCAAAATGAATAGAACTAAGTTAGTGTACTTGAGATTATATGATATGTTTAACTAAAGCCGGGTGATATGGTTAAAATCAGTATTATATTATTAGGATTATTTTTCACCTCCCGATAAATCACAATGTAGCGGACATAACACTATAGAATGCTTCAAATGTGTAATACAAAACCTTCAGTGACTTGTGAAGTAACCTTTTACTTACACTCGACTTGGCTCAGTAATTTTGTAAAATGCTAATTATCGTGTGCTTGTGGTTCTTTCTTTTTGTTCTATAAACATATGTTTCCTTTTTGTAAATACTCGTACTAAGTACTTTTTTATGTGGTAAGGTTAGTGAATCTCCACAGGAAATTGTACAATCACACAAATCTTCTGCTGTGTATATATTCTTAACTTATTATTAGGGGAGTAAATCACTGATTTTGTCATGATACAATATTATATTGATTCTTTGTACAACAATGCAATATTTGAGTCTGCAACCATATGATTTCAATTCAATTCAATTTAAGGGGCTGCGCTCCATATGAGACATGTGCCAATTAACACAGTCAATTAGGATGACCAGGATAGGTGAGTGTAAGTCTTGACACAATATGAGTAATCAGGGACAGTAGGGAGGAGAGTTAAAACGGTCAATTCCCAGCAATCTAACAGGCCATCACCCACTCTCTCCCTGCCTCCCAAATATTTAAGTTATTACGTTATCATACTACACTATACTATACCTTAGTTACTGTTCGAATGTTAAGGAAAGTGTGCACGTATCTTAAAGATGACAACACAGAGGGATGTTTACACTTTGCATTGATCATAATTGATCGATGCAATCATTAAATCAGTGTATAGATCCAAACTAAAGGATCGTTACACACCTATTATTGATGGTTTTATAATGATCAGTCAGGGCTCCTAGTGTAACTATGTAGTATAACTATATATAGTATAACTTGCCAGTTTTACTGTTAGCAGATTCCCCCCTGCCAGCCACAGAAAAAACTCAGCAAATCAGTAAATAAAAAACATTATTTGTTTAGTTCAGTAAATATTGAATATAAGCCTGATGAAGACAGCTGTTCTCTCTGCTCTTCACGACCTGCTGGTGAAAGGACAGGTGGTTAGAAACCGTGTTTGCATGGCTGTAGCCAGCTATGAGGTCATTCAGGTCTGGACCTCAGACCCCATTTCCTAATATAGCAGGCAGCAGCTTTGAATAAACAATTAGCCTACTTTGCTGCAGTCATGCTGTCTGTCATCGCCACAGACAGGAAATGGTAAATTGGACTTTACTTGTATAGCGCCTTTCTTGTCTTCCGATCACTCAAAGTGCTTTTACACTACATTCCACATTCACACAGTGACAGCAAAGCCCATCAGCTAACTCATTCATTCAGTCACATTCACACACCGATGCCTCGCAGGATTCATGACCTCCCTATTTCTAAAGTCCTATGGCCCTCGGTGTCGGGAGCATTTCTGGAACTCGTCCTAGTAATGCGTCCACTGAATGTATATCTTTGAGGTTGCCTGGCAAGAGAGAACAGGTCTCTTGAAGCCTGGCCAATATTGAACTGCCAGAATGTACAAACCAAACACTGACTTTAGGCAGGGCCTTTCACGTTTTTCAAACTTTTTATGACCACTGTAGTTCCTCCTATACACTTGGTTGAGTCATGTTGTTTCAGTTAGTTGCAATCTGCAACCTGGTCCATCAATAATTGAATCTGTGTTTGCATTAATTGCATCTATACTATCTGTGGCAGGTTGGGGACTACTTCAATGCCTATCCCAATGATGTCCTGGCTATATTTGATAAAGTGTTACAAAGAACAGCCGTGGAGTTATCAGAGAATGCCTCTCCCAAGCGCCGTGGAGGACAAAGAACAAAAGTGCACAGAATGAGACGCACTCCTCATGCCCGCATAACAGGTATAGCGCCTTTCTAGTCTTCCGACCACTCAAAGCGCTTTTACACACACACATTCATACAGCTGTGAATGATGGAGGTTACCAGATGTTGCTCAGGATTGCATTGTGAGGATTTATGATTTTTCAGACTGGCATGTACACAAACTTCCTCCTCTGTTTTCCCTTTAGTCTTTTTTGGATTAAGTATTGCATGGGCTCCCAAACATTGTCATTTCAAAACCCCCCTACAATAGATATAATTTATTATTTTCTTTGTGGTGTTTATCAACTCTCGTGTGTGCCCAGGTCTGCCAGTGTGTCCAGAGCTGACCAGAGAGACCATTCCCAGGTCCAGAGATGTAGGGCACTTTTTGTCTGTCACTGGTACTGTCATACGCACCAGTGTTACCAAGGTCAGTAAAGACAAGATACTCTTTATTTGGTAAATGGACTATACTTATAGTGCCTTTCTAGTCTTCCGACCACTCAAAGCGCTTTTACACACACACATTCACTCAGCGATGGCAAAGCCAATCAAACAGAAACTAACTCATTCATACACATTCACACACCGATGCACGGCATTGGGAGCAATTCGGGGTTCAGTATCTTGCTCAAGGATACTTTGACATGTGGCACCAGGAGCTGGGGATCGAACCAACAACCTTCTGATTGGGGGACGACCCGCTCTGCCTCTGTATTATAGGATATGATATGTTTACAGTACATATATGTACAGTGTCTCACAAAAGTGAGTACACCCCTCACATTTCTGCAAATATTTCATTATATCTTATCATGGGATAACACTGAAGAAATGACACTTTGATACAATGTAAAGTAGTCAGTGTACAGCTTGTATAATAGTGTAAATTTACTGTCCCCTCAAAATAATTCAACACACAGCCATTAATGTCTAAACTGCTGGCAACAAAAGTGAGTACACCCCTAAGTGAAAATGTCCAAATTGTGCCCAATTAGCCATTTTCCCTCCCCGGTCTCATTAGTGTTTCAAGGTCTCAGGTGTGAATGGGGAGAAGGTGTGTTAAATTTGGCGTTATCGCTCTCACTCTCTCTCATACTGTTCACTGGAAGTTCAACATGGCACCTCATGGCAAATTACTCTCTGAGGATCTGAAAAAAAGAATTGTTGCTCTACATAAACATGGCCTAGGCTATAAGAAGATTGCCAACACCCTGAAACTGAGCTGCAGCACGGTGGCCAAGACCACACAGCGGTTTAACAGGACAGGTTCCACTCAGAACATCCCTTGGCATGGTCGACCAAAGAAGTTGAGTGCTTGTGCTCAGCGTCATATCCAGAGGTTGGCTTTGGAAAATAGACGTATGAGTGCTGCCAGCATTGCTGCAGAGGCTGAAGGGGTGTCAGTGCTCAGACCATACGCCACACACTGCATCAAATTGGTCTGCATGGCTGTCGTCCCAGAAGGAAACCTCTTCTAAAGATGATGCACAAGAAAGCCCGCAAACAGTCTGCTGAAGACAGTTAGTCTAAGGACATGGATTACTGGAACCATGTCCTTGGGTCTGATGAGACCAAGATAAACTTATTTGGTTCAGATGGTGTCAAGCGTGTGTGGCGGCAACCAGGTGAGGAGTACAAAGACAAGTGTGTCTTGCCTACAGTCAAGCATGGTGGTGGGAGTGTGAATGGTCTGGGGCTGCATGAGTGCTGCCAGCACGGGGAAGCTACAGTTCATTGAGGGAACCATGAATGCCAAAATGTACTGTGACATACTGAAGCAGAGCATGATCCCCTCCCTTAGGAAACTGGGCCGCAGGGCAGTATTCCAACATGATAATGACCCCAAACACACCTCCAAGACGACCACTGCCTTGCTAAAGAAGCTGAGGGTAAAGGTGATGGACTGGCCAAGTCTCCAGACCTAAACCCTATTGAGCATCTGTGGGGCATCCTCAAACGGAAGGTGGAGGAGTGCAATGTCCACCAGCTCCGTGATATCGTCATGGAGGAGTGGAAGAGGATTCCAGTGGCAACCTGTGAAGCTCTAGTGAACTCCATGCCCAAGAGGGTTAAGGCAGTGCTGGAAAATAATGGTGGCCACACAAAATATTGACACTTAGGGCCCAATTTGGACATTTTCACTTAGGGGTGTACTCACTTTTGTTGCCAGCGGTTTTGACATTAATGGCTGTGTGTTTAGTTATTTTCAGGGGACAGTAAATTTACACTATTATAAAAGCTGTACACTGACTACTTTACATTGTATCAAAGTGTCATTTCTTCAGTGTTGTCCCATGAAAAGATATAATGAAGTATTTGCAGAAATGTGAGGGGGGTACTCACTTTTGTGAGATACTGTATATTATGTATTACATAAAGCGAATGTATAGTGTGTTTAAAATAAATAAATAATATGTGCTTAGGGAATATGTATAAGAGTCAACGACAAAAAAGGCTTCTAAAACGTTTTTAAAAGTATTTTTAAAATGTAATTTCTTTATTGATTTCTTTTTTTTTTTTTTTTTTTAACAAGATTAAATTGTTAAATAACAGTATTTCTAACTTAGCTGCCTAAAAAAATGTCGGGTCACAAAAAAAGCCACTGGATTTATTTTTATTTTTGATGGCAATGTCTGTCGGAAAAACCGGATTGTGTGTGAACCACTTCGTGTCGGAGTCGGACTGGTTTCACAACCTCTGTCAGTACAACACTGGACTGGCTGAAAGACTGTTCCTGAAAGAGGGATTCATACCAACTGTATGTGGCGAGACGGCAGAGGAAGTAACTGTAAGTATTTTCAAGAATTGATGCTTTGTTTTTCATTGTTCGTGTACCGCTAGCACATGCTAACCGTTGGTAGCTACAGGAGCCCCAGTGATGCTAACGTATATTGTTTATTAAATGTTTGTTAAATGTGTGTAAGATGAACATGAAACTTATAGGGTAAGGTTAATTTATTGAGCCAGCTGGTGCATATGACTCCATGTTCTCCCCTGCTGCTATTTCTTTTGTAGAGATTCACACGAAGTTTATGTCGTGAATCACCAAGCTTCGTGCCGTGCGGGGGACTCCGTAACTCCGTAACTGCGTAACTGTTGTGGGTTTTGTGACCGGGCTAAATTGGCTTTATATTCGTCTGTATTTTGTTAAACGTGCTCAGTAAGTAATGTTTGTGTCGCTGTTAGAAAGAGAAGAAAACCTCCGAGCGAACGAACTCTAGCCGCTCATCAGCTGTTTGCTCGTTGAGCTGCATAGAACAGGGACGATAACGTCAGTTAGGTTTAATTGTCTTTAACCTGGTAACTTGCATATCTGCTGGGTAACTTAGCTAACGTTAAGTATCTGTTCACGGTGTGGATCAATACAGCTGTGATCAGAAGACACCGTACTTGTACTGTGTATAAATTCAGCAGCGGAGGTCATTTGTTTGGTAGGATTGTAGCTTTGATTAGCACACAGCAGCTCTGTGATGTCACTGTGTAACTAAAGTTACTGAGTCTGTCGGACTTTATGTTGTAATATGAGGGGCAGTGTGATCGTTAACCCTCGTTAGAAGCTACCAAAATACCGGGAGTGAGTCATGGTGATTGTTTTCTGTTTGTGTAACGTGCTAACCAGTTGGGGCTAGGGGTGTGTGTGTGGGTGTCGGTGTGTAAATTAACTTGATCTACGTGCACTGGAGTTAACGATAGAGCTACGGTGAGAGAGAAATGGTCAAACTGCAGGGATTCATTAGTTTAGTAAGTTAAATATTGTCTAACTACGACGCTCACTAGGCTGTTTTGTGGAGTCAAACACTACTTTATTTTATAACTTAGGACTACTTTGAGCCACAATGAGCTGTTGTACTTGTATTATATTATACTGTATTGTACTGTATATTATATGCTGCCTTACAAGTAAGACTGAATCTGCCTTGTTTTACAGGTGACCTGATGAAGCTCAGGTGTTCCTGGACCCATCAGAGGACAGACAGCTGCAGCATCAGGACAGTCTGAAGGACACGATCCGCACAGTTTACATAAAAGTTATAGCTTTGTTACTTATAACATGTGTAACTGGAATATGAATTAAACAAAGTGTTTTACTTTTAAGAAGAGTTTGTCATTTTTAAATTCGTCATCTGCGTGAACCACGTCATAATGCAGACCAATCAGAGCAGACTGGGCTTTTCGGGTGGGGGGCCTTAAAGAGACAGGAGCTAAAACCGATCGATTCAGACAGGCTGAAAAGAGGTGCTCAGCTATAGACATAAGTAAAATAATGTGTTTTTTGAAGATTAAAACATCTAAACTTATTGTAGTAGAGTCACAAAATACAATTATGAACCTGAAAAGGAGCATAATGTCTCCTTTAAATAAAATATTAGATATAATATCATTTTATGATGAAATTACATTCTCCTAGTTTTACATTGGTTGCACCACCTGACAAAAATATTGTCAATATTTGAGAGATATACAAACTTTTTCACCAGCTATAAAAGTCATTTGGGGTCCTCTGGTTGATGCAATATCCTATTAACTGTTAAAACCTGTTCACTTAAAAATATAACCATGGTACAGTTGTGCCACACTGACATTTGATAACATACTGACAGCCTGACAGCCTGACAAAATGTCTTCAGTTATCTTGATCTTCTTTATCTATTTGTAAAATTGGGTTTATTTTAAAGGTTTCAAACATAGAAGTACTCGTATAGACAGGTTTGCCAGACAATTTGGGGGTTAGAGTTTCCAAAACATTAATAATATTTATTATTTTAATATAGTTAAAAGATATGTGAACCTAAATACGTTTTATATAATAAAATTAAATATGTCAAGCATTTATTAAATAATTTAAAAGGAAATTATACACTTGGACACAAATGTCATGTAATTGACCCATAAATATGAATAAGTATTCTGTATAATCTGAGGTAACAGCATGGCACTCAACAATTTGCTGAAATTGAGTTGAATGCTGCTTGTCACTCTATACTACTGTTACATCCAGTAGCAGCGATACATTTTACACACACAGGCAACCATCACAAACAAGCATAGGTAATTTATAATTCATCAGTTAATGATGAGGCTGGCATAATTTAAATCAATTGCTTATTATGTCTTAATAATTAAATATACCATTGAACTGTTGCATGTCATTTATAAATCAGTAGTATTGATGAGTTCCTGGTAAGGCAGTAGCCATATTGATATTAATAACATTAGAATGTTGGTAAATTGGTTACATGTAAAGACCAACAGTTGGATTGAGTGTAGAGTAGGGGTATTCAACTACATTTGTCCATGTCCATGTCCACTTTAATAAAAAGAAAAAACTAATTCAGGCCTAATTAGCATAGTATATATTATTATATATTTTATTTAGTAAATTGTATCAGTTTATATCAGTGTGAATAGATTATAGGGCTATACCCAACTAGTAGTTATTGTTGACCAGTTTTTCGCAGGTTTATGATATCAATTTAATTATTTATTTATTAAACAGCTGCCTGTTAAATGCTAAAGTAAAAGGTGGTAATGAATCTGAATGTTTACAACCAGCAAGGTGACTGAACATTTAGTGCATTAAGTGCATTTATTTCAACACAGTATATAACATATAACATCATAGAAATACATAAATGTGTGGTTGCATGTGAGTTTTTGTTTTGAGACTTACTTCGGTACCTTCTCTACCTCCCATAGGTTCTGGAATACGAGCGGGAGTACATGTGCGCAAAGTGTCATCATGTTTTCACAGTGCTGGCTGATTTTGACCAGTTCTATACCTTCGTCCAACCGGTAGCCTGTCCTAATCCTGATGGCTGTAACTCGTACAAATTCAGCTGTCTGTCTGTAGGCTCTGAGCCTGCTTCCTGCAAGGATTACCAGGAAATCAAGATACAAGAGCAAGTAGGGCAAATTATGCATATGATCAATAAATCTCTCTCATTGTATTATTACTGTTTTCTACAGATAAAAAAAGCTAATTGGTACCTCCCACTACAACAGGTACAGAGGCTGTCACTGGGCAGTATTCCTCGTTCTATGGTGGTGGTTCTGGAGGATGACCTGGTTGACAGTTGTAAATCAGGTAAGAAAATAACAAGGTTTGACAAGATACACTTGCTTGTTAAAACATACTGCCAGCTCCTCGAAACAGCTAATAATGTAAATCCTAATCAAGGTGAGGTCTAGTTAAAAATCTGATTGAACTCACTGTGTCTTTATATTCTATATTTATTGCATTGGGTGATCCCAGGAGATGATGTGACTGTCTATGGGGTGATGTGCCAGCGCTGGAAGCCCTTTTATGATGGCGCTCGCTGTGATGTTGAAATGGTCCTCAAAGCTAACAACATAGAAGTGAATAACCAGCAGGTTTCTGCTGCTCTGGTCATGAAGGACGTTCAGAAAGAAATTGAAGAGTTCTGGAATAGCTGCAAACATGATCCCATAGCTGGTATGTAATAATTTGCCTCATAACAATAACATTTTTATCTATTCTTTTCTTTTTTAAAAATGCGATCCTCTCTCCTCTCTCTGTAGGTCGGAACCAGATCTTGTTGAGCCTGTGCCCACAGGTATTTGGAATGTATTTGATTAAACTGGCGGTAGCCATGGTGTTGGCTGGCGGTGTGCAGAGAACGGATTCTTCTGGGACTAAGATCAGAGGTATTTTGTTTCTTGTGTTTTTAAATTAAACAACTGAAAAGGACACAATACTTCTGCCATTTTGTAATAATTAAAAATGTCAAAAACTTTTTAAAGGATGTGTGAAGGATTAAGTGATCTCTAGGGGTGTAGTTGCAGATTGCAGCTCTTGCTTCACCCTCCCAAGCATGAAAGAGAAACTACGATGGCTGCAAAACACGCAAAAATGTGAACTGCCCTATCTTTGGTTTGTCCCTTCTGGGCAACTGTAGAAACATGGCGGTTCAAAATGGTTATGACTTGTGCCATCTGTAGTAAATGGCTCATTTTGAGGTAACAAAAATACAACAATTCTTATTTCCAGGTGATCATACACAAATAAAAACATGCCTATGAATATTATGTATAATTTCTGCCAATAAATGTTATACACTGGACCTTTAAATTAATCTCATTACATGTGTTATGACCTTTAAGTCAGAGGCATGGCACAGGTACTGGTTGAATGCCCGGGTTGCTACTCTACAAAAAAAAAATAATTCAGGCCTTACCTAAATGCAGGTGAGCTCAGTTTGCTTTCCACCATCGCACCATTCTGCCCTTGCATGTCATCCTCCCCTGTGTATATTGACCAGCCCCATTCCATCATCTTCAACTGTCACTGGGCTCAGAGTCAGTTTCAGTTAATTTAGGTGAAATACACACAGACAAAAAGTAATACCAAATACTCGGGATGAGGGTTATTATTCATTGTCCATCGCAGTCCCAAAAATAGTTGCGCTCTCCACAGAATGCCACTTCTCTCCTCTTCATTTACTTTTGGCTCTCTGGCATCTGCCCACTGGCAGGCTCATATTGGGTAAGACCTGACCTCTAAAACAACAAATGACAACCTGTGACAATGACAATAGGGAAACTAAGTGTTTGCTGTATGTTGGAAAAAATGGTCCTCTGTGACATGCTGATTTACTGGAGTTAAACTTGTCTTCTCAAGGCGAGTGCCATATGTTGCTGGTTGGTGACCCTGGTACAGGAAAGTCTCAGTTTCTGAAGTATGCAGCTAAGATCATGCCTCGCTCTGTACTCACAGCCGGAATCGGATCAACAAGTGCAGGTAGGTCATTGTTCACTGTCAGCTCTCAAGTTAAAGCAATTTGTCATCAAGTGAGAACTGTACATGCTACATGATCATATTCATCAGTTTTGTATATTAATGGGTTAACTGAATTTGTGAACACAATATATAATTTGCTGAAGGACTGACAGTAGCAGCTGTGAAAGACGGAGGTGATTGGCATCTGGAGGCAGGAGCCCTGGTCCTGTCAGATGGTGGTTTGTGCTGCATTGATGAATTCAACAGCATCAAGGAACATGACCGTATCAGCATCCATGAAGCTATGGAGCAACAATCTATAAGTGTTGCCAAAGCTGGGTAGGACAATTACACATATGCTTCCACATGCTCATAGAATTTTAGTGTGGGCAAAGAGCAGTATTAATGGGGTTTTGTGGTGAAAACAGCTCAACATTAACCTTAGTCAGCTTGCCCGGGACAGTTAACTCTGTTCAGGCAACTTGGGATGCCTCATGCAGTTGTCTGATTGGGCAGTAATTACTGCATACACAACCAAGTACAGAGGTGTAGGTGTGTACATGTGTGACCTAAGTGAACTTAATTTGTGAATAACGTGGAAAATGAATTAGAATAAAATGGTGAAATAACCTACTAGAAATAGGATAATATATTCTATTATTTTCAAATAAAATAGAGAAATATTAACTTTTGGTCTTCTAGGCTTTTGTTTTAGAGTGACTTTTTTTAAATTTTGTATGCTCAATGATTTGATTCTTCATCCAGTCTCCTACAACACTATTCTAGAAATAAGTTCATCATCATCAGTCACTGCTATTAGTGTAGTTGTTGCTGTGCACCTGTCTGTCTGTCTGTCTGTCTGTCTGTCTCTCTCTCTGTCTCTCTCTCTCTCTCTCTCTCTCTCTCTCTCTCTCTCTCTCTTTCACCCCGACTGGTCGAGACAGACGACCATCCACCTAGAGCCGAAGGATCTGTCCTAGGTTTCTGCCTTTTAACAGGCAGTTTTTCCTTGCCCTTGTCGCCAAGTACTTGCTCATGGTGGTACTGTTGGGTCTCTGTAAATAATGTTATAAGGAGTTCGGTCTACACCTGCTCTATTTGGAAAGTGTCCTGAGTTAACTTCTGTTATGAATTGGTGCTATACAAATAAAATTTAATTGAATTGAATTGAAGTTGGTAATATTGTCCGACTCTGTATTTAAAATAGACCTCTACAGAAACTCAATTCACACACAATAGTCTTGTTGACAAGTAAGGTTAAAATGGACAATAACACAAAAATTTACTTTTCTTTTTATTCTCCTACTCAATATTCTTTCTCCTCTCTACAGTATGGTGTGTAAGCTGAACACTCGGACCACCATCTTGGCAGCCACTAATCCTAAAGGACAGTATGATCCCAACGAGCCATTGTCTGTGAATGTAGCTCTGGCTAGCCCTTTGCTGAGTCGTTTTGACCTTGTTCTAGTTCTACTGGACACCAGAAATGCAGAGTGGGACCGTATCGTCTCCTCTTTTATTCTGGAGGACAGAGGTAGAGCATGTGCTTTCGAATTTGGAAATGAAATGCTAAAAGCAAAGCAATCAATAAAAAAAAATGATATTTTTATTATGATATTTTAATGATTGGTATTCTGATATTTATCCAGGATGTTATCATTATGTATCAATCGTGTAGTGTAAATTGTATACATCATCAAGGTAAAAGGGATACGCTGAAAATAGCTTGAATACATAGACTCGGTATGATATGGATTAATTATTAATAATTTTTGTTAAGGTATCGATTTAAGTACTTCGCAGTACTATCACAGTATTAATTTTGGTCCAAACTACACATCTAATGTTAATGCTGTTGTTTTTCTTTCAGGACTGTCTGCTGAGTCTTCCAGCCTGTGGTCCATGGAGAAAATGAAGGCTTATTTTAGTACGATTAAACACTTGGAACCGCAGGTGTCCGAGGAGGCAAACAGCATCTTGACACGTTACTACCAGCTGCAGAGACAGAGTGATGGCCGCAATGCTGCCCGCACCACCATTCGCATGTTGGAGAGTCTAATCAGACTGGCTGAAGGTGAGGATGGATGGAATCTATTTATTATTATTTTTTTTCATTTTCTCTTTATTTAGAATCACATATCAGCATTTAACACATTTATATCCGCATAGTTTGATAGAAATATACAGTGATTCATCTTTACAATTTTTTTTTTTAAATATACAAATATGAACAGAACATGGGGTATTTCAAAATGGCAAAAAGAAAACAAAAACATACTAAGAGGAAAATGGAATAAGAAATTACAAGCAGTTAAACAAAAGAAGGGCGTTTAGGAGCAATATACATTTTCCACTTTTCCCAAGTTTCCTCAAATCTAGTTTTCTCTAGTCTCACAGAAAAGGTAATTCTTTCCATTACATAGATTTTTCGTAAATATTGTCATACCATTCCTCTATAGATGGGCCAATTGGCTTAAGCCATTTCTTTTTAATTGCTTTTCTAGCAGCTATACTCAGAATACCAAACAAGTATTTAGTTTTAATATTTACAGATGTTGAGTGTAGAAAACCAAAGAGAAGTTCGTACCAATTAAAAGCAGTTTTCGTTCCAAATATCATCACTAATTCTGTGTAGACCTTACGCCAGAAACCATTTACAATTGGACAGGCCCAGAACAAGTGGTAATGGTTTGCTTCCTGAGAACCACATTTTCTCCAGCAACTGGAGGAACCTGAGTGATGAGACTGCTGAACAGGTGAAATAAAATATCTGCTGAGACTCTTCCAGAGATTGAGCTTGATATCTTCCATTGAAATTCACAATATTTGGTCCAGACTTCCTCTGTGATGCAACTGGCGGTTTCGCTTTCCCATTTTTGTTTAATGTAGATGTTACTATTTGTTTTAACTCCTTGGAGTCCCTTATAAAATCTTGAAATTATTTTAAGCCCTGAGTCCGCTCTGTAGGCACTAATAAACATTTTTAACAATTCATTCTCAAATACTTTTTGGCTCTCCAGAATATAACTATTAATGTAATGACGAACCTGAAGAAATCTAAAGAAGTCACTATTGTTTAAACCATGTAGTCTCTTCAATGCGTCAAAACTGTTCACTGTTCTCTGATTAAAAAAGATGCAGTATGAGGAGAGACCCAGGTTAACCCATCTTTTATAGCTAATATCTAGTTTATTTGGTATAAAGTCAGGGTCATGTGAGCACCATCTCAAAATCTTTATTTCTTCCCGCCAACTGCTTTTACTTACAACAGCTAGCCAGGTTTTAAGACTTAAATTAATCAATTTATTATTTATTTCCATTAAGTTTCTAATCAATCTTTTATCCCCTATCCTCGCCTGTATTGGTATGCCCTGATATGCTTTCTTCAATTTCTTTCCATCTCGCCTGGTATTAAGAGTTGCACCAACAAAACAAGATCCTCAATTGGGCTGTAATATAATAATCCTTTAAGCATGGGAGTGCAAGTCCTCCTTTATCCTTTGATAATTGGAGAGTTTGAAATTTTATCCTTGGCTTTTTCCCCTGCCAAATAAATCTTGATAGTAATTTGTCTCATTGATTAAATTGTTTATCATTTATTTCAATTGGAAGAGTCTGGAACAGATAAAGTATTCTAGGTAAGATGTTAATTTTCACAGATTCAATTCGTGACTCACAACTCAATATTGGAATTAAATCCCGCCTCTTTATATCCTCCTGTATTTTCTGATTTATTTGGTTGAAATTTAAATCGTACAATTTTGCTGAATCTTTAGGGATGTTTACCCCTAAATATCTCATATATTCCACGTCCCAATTAAATTGAAAAGTGGAGCTTATATTCTGACTAGACTAAGTCTCTGGGTGTGACAAATAGATTAAAATGTCATCCGCATACAGAGAAATTTTATGTTCTCGTCCTAGCATTTTTATACCTGTAATGCTATTATCTTGAGTAATCCCCTTGGCTTAGAGCTTCAATAAATATTGCAGAAAGTAGAGGACTAATTGGACAGCCCTGTCTAGTCCCTCTTTCCAGACCAAATGAGCTTGAGATGTTCCCATTTACTTTTATCCTTGCCCTTGGATCATTACATTGTGCTCGAATGGTCGTGATAAAAGTCTGATGAAATCCAAATTTCTGTAAGACGCTATATAGAAACTCCCAATTGACCCAATCGAAAGCCCGAAAGCCTGCATCATGGCTCAGCGAGACTACCTGGGAGTTATTTTTAACTATATGTTTGGTAACATGGAGCTTTCTACAAATGTTGTCCTGAGTCTGCCTTTGTTGTATAAAACCTGTCTGATCCAAACTTATTATCTGGGGAAGGATGTTTTCAAGTCTTTTTGCCAAAATATGAGTAAAGATCTTATAGTCCTGGTTCAGTACACCTATCGGCCGATAGCTTTGCCATCACTGTGTGAATGTGTGTGAAAGGGTCAATGTGGCACGTAGTGTAAAAGCGCTTTGAGTGGTCGGACTAGAAAGGCGCTATACAAGTACAGGTCCATTTACCATTTACCATCAGCTGGAAGGTCCCTATTGTTTTTGGTATGTTTATTAGGGACCGAGCCAGTGTCAACACTAGGAGGACCCTATTGTAATTGCTCAGTTTATTATTACTATTAGCACCTTTCACTGCATTTTTGACCCCCTGAACATATACTCCGGACTTATTTTATTTGGCAAAGTGGTCAGGCCTGGTGAAAGATTCGATATTCTACGCGTCACATTCGACTTGGCCACTAGGTGGTGCTACTATTAAGAAAAGTAGGTTTAGGCTAATAACTTCCGCATCGTTTGTCTCACATTCAAAAAACCCATATCCCCATAAACCCATAGAAAAAACCACGCCACTGGGTGGCGCTCTGGTGGCATGGTAAATCACTCTGCGGAGAATAGTTATGAATATGAAATTCACAGGACGCGTGTAGACTGGTGCCTGTAGCTCAAACACCAAAAATCGTGTTTGTAGCGCTCCCTACAGTATTTCAACGCAGCAGCCGCAGCGCCACGTTTCACCAATATGTATGAAACTTAGTAGGCATGTGTAACGTGCCAAGACCTACAGAAAACCCTCTTGGACCCATGCCCCAAAACCCACAGGAAGTCGGCTATTTTCATTTTCATTTTCACTCTCGGCGGCCATTTTGTGGTCATTTTCACTTTTTTGGCTCGTATTTGAACGAAGTCCTTCTAGGGAATTTATCCGATCTGCTTCAAAATTGGTCAGTACAGTCAAAAGATTTTGCTGAATGAACGCTGTGCTTTTTGTGACTGTACGTTGAAGGGCATGTCAGTGGCGTGCAGTCAAAGTTGGCCATTTTGAATCGAATGTCAAACTGTGACGCCATTTTTGGCATTTCAGGGCTTCTATTTTAACTAACTCCTCCTACAGGTTTTAACGGATCTACTTCAAAATTGGTCAGTACAGTCAAAAAAAATTTCTGACTGAACGCCGTGGTATTTGTGCCTGTACGTTGAAGGGCATGTCCGTGGTCTGCCGCCAAAGTCGGCCATTTTGAATTCTTTGGTCATTTTCAGTGAATTTTTGCCTTGTATTTGAACAAACTCCTCATAGGGGACTTATCTTTTTCTTTCAGACATTTTTATTGAATTTTAATCACAGATACAGAAATGTTCATACAATGTACATTTCTTTTTTTCAAAGTGATAAAACACAAACACTTTCCACTCCCACTAGCCACATCTACAAACCATATTTCCTACAGAGTATTGTTCCTGGAGTATTGTAGGAAACCGCTGGAAGTCAAGTATTAAATTGCAAGATAAATAGGGGACTTATCAAATCTACTTCAAAATTAGTCAGTACAGTCAACATATGTTGTTGATTAAAAGTTGGCTTCTATTTTAACTAACTCCTGCAGATTTTATCATATTGACTTCATAGTCGATCACTGCAATCTAGTCACATTGGTGACCTTAAGTTAATCAAATATTTACTGTGTGTCAAACTGTGTGTCCGTGGCGTGGCGCTGAATTTCCACCTTTCGCAGTGAAGAGTCTCTCTACACCGCATTCCAAATTATTATGCAAATGATATTTTTCTCAGATTTTCCTAAATAGTCGATGCAAATGACAGTCAGTATAATTTTCATTGAAATGATTTATTAAAAATAAAAAACTCAAAATGCACTGTTCCAAATTATTATGCACAACAGAGATCAAAACATTTTAAAGGTTGTAAAGAGAACTAAAATGGTAATTTGTTGAATTTGCAGCATCAGGAAATCATAGTTACAAGCATATTTACATATTTACATATTTACATTTAAAGCTATTTCAATCAAAAAAATCTTAACAGGCCAAGTTACATGTTAACATAGGACCCCTTCTTTGATATCACCTTCACAATTCTTGCATCCATTGAACTTGTGAGTTGTTGGAGAGTTTCTGCTTGAATATCTTTGCAGGATGTCAGAACAGCCTCCCAGAGCTGCTGTTTTGATGTGAACTGCCTCCCACCCTCATAGATCTTTTGCTTGAGGATGCTCCAAAGGTTCTCAATAGGGTTGAGGTCAGGGGAAGATGGGAGCCACACCATGAGTTTCTCTCCTTGTATGCCCATAGCAGTCAATGACACAGAGGTATTCTTTGCAGCATGAGATGGTGCATTGTCATGCATGAAGATAATTTTTGCTACGGAAGGCACGGTTCTTCTTTTTGTACCACGGAAGAAAGTAGTCAGTCAGAAACTCTACATACTTTGCAGAGGTAATTTTCACACTGTCAGGGACACTAAAGGGGACCTACCAGCTCTCTCCCCATGATTCCAGCCCAAAACATGATCCAGCCACCTCCTTGCTGACGTCGCAGCCTTGTTGGGACATGGTGGCCATTCACCAACCATCCACTACTCCATCCATCTGGACCATCCAGGGTTGCACGGCACTCATCAGTAAACAACACGGTTTGAAAATTAGTCTACATGTATTTCTGAGCCCACTGCAACCGTTTCTGCTTGTGAGCATTGTTTAGGGGTGGCTGAATAATAGATTTATGCACACTTGCAAACCTCTGGAGGATCCTACACCTAGAGGTTCGCAAGA